GGCCCTTATGATAAAATTAGAGAAATTATTATTACATAACTGCATGTAGCACAATAATAAACTGCCAGTATATGGATCGTTTTGTTTGTTGTTGTTGTTGTTGTTGTTGTTTTTTTTGGGTTTTTTTAGTATTTTGTTATAATTATTCAGTGTGTTTTGTTCTAACGTCTGATATTAAACCATTCGGAACCACTAAACCATTTTCGAAGTATGGCGGAAAGAACCGAAAAGTTACGATTGTACTTGGACTTCTGTTTATTATATCAAAAATAATTCAAAGTATCATTTTGCTTCAAGCACCGATTTCATAATACAAATAAAAGAAATAGATAAAACAGACGAGATTCCTATTTAGAGAAACGCAATAAGGGCCTTCTGGCGTCCTATTTCTTGAATTTTACCCAGCTTTATTATGATATAACCAAAGTGTCACTGTGAAGCAGTAATGTTTAATCTTTTTGTAAATGTCTTTTTTATCATTCACTGTTTAAGTTGTGTAATATTAAAGTCGGGAGTGACTGTATGAAAATACGCATCGTTATACCCAATATGATAAAGGGTATAAAGCTATGACATATTAAATATTTTTAAAAAAAATATCAACAGATGGTTGGTTCTTGAAATAGTTGTATCATAGAATGCCTCTAATGCTCTTCACAATCGTAGCAACTCGGCTTTCTCCGGCAACTTCGTAAGAAAACCCGAGATGTTCCGATTGTTTGCCTTCATTGATAATGATTAAGAACACGTACCTGACGATGTGCAAGAGACTTTGTTATAGTTGTTCCTTTACTACTAGTGTGTTATATTTTCTAATTAAAATGCAAAACATTTTTCAAATAATACAGATTAAATGCAAATTAGAATTTTGATAACACATTTGAATTGTTAAATATGTTTCAATTAATATGCATACTCAATACGATATATAGTCTATAAAAAATGAACGTCATTGCGTGCTTGTTACTAACGGGAATTTAAGTTGTGTAGCATTGGTATCAAGATTTTATGTTTCATATTAAGATTTACACATAATATGAATTTGGTAAAAGTAAAAGTCATATCTTATGAATGAATTTTAAACAGAACAAACTCAATGATTTAATTTGTTTTTATTCTATTTGTTTTTTTAGAATGAATATTTTGTGATAAAAATAATATGTTTTTTTATGCAAACAGGACGTTTCGGCTCCAAACCAAATCTGCCCCAGTGCAAAAATCGGCTCAATATTTTTCGGCCATTTTTTTATCTTGATGTTTTATAATAAAAAGTTATATGTTTGTTTTATCTTGATGTTCGGTTACATTTCGTAGAACTTTCTGTAAAACGACATTGTATGCTGTATTTTAAATCCATGTTTAAAACTAGTAATAATGCCAGTTCCGATGCCCTCTGACCTCAAAAGACTACGTCAATTGAACCAAATGCAAGTTCATGCAGATTGAATGACAGACAAATCAATTCCTTTAATATTTGAAGGCATTGCTCCAAGGCGGGGAACGAGATCTGATATAATTTTAATATTATGACAAGCACTAATTTTTCATAACCAAGTTTACTCGCATGATAGTCCTTCATGCATATTATAGTGGATGAGATTTTCATTACACGCATACAACTGTCCGGTGTATAAAATTCGCATCGAACACTTATAATTCTATTGGACGGGTACAAGTTTTTCAGCCTTTATTAGAAGAGGCGAAAGACTAGTTTAATAAAGGATTTGCAGGTGTGTACGAGCCCAATAGATTCAGTATTGTACTAAAAAGTGTATACTGACTTCTTTATTTCACATAACCAATCTTTTAACATTTTTAGAGAACAATATTGATTTTCAGAACGATATGAAATTGGTATGGATTGTATTGACTCGGAAAATAATCAAAGTACAGAAGGCGATGAATTTGTTTGGGTCTCAGAATGTCAGAAAGGTGAAGGTTGTGAGATTATAAACCAGTTTGTTTTTGTATAGTGCCACCAATGCTGTTTCCAGTGTTATATCTGTAGTATATTGACTATAAGGCTAATTGCAACACTGATATTAAATTCAATGTTTATTTGGCTTAAACAATTTAAAAAGAAAGTTGCCTTAACTGGGATTTGAACTCCAGACCTCTCACTTACAAACCGAGCATGTAACCCCTCGACCACGGTGAAGATTCAAGATAACGGCCTGAAGAAAACCACATTATTCTAAATTAGGGTTTGTAACCCTTATTAATTTCACGGTAAACGTGTTGTTTAACATTGATGTAAATAATCATGGAGCTTTATATAAGCATGTTTATCTGTAAAGAATAGCACAATATTAGAAATATTTGACCAATCGGGAACTATTTTTTCTTCCCTGAGAATTATTGCGCCTGTCATTTGACAATCTTTATTCAGTGATTTCCCCTTAATTTGTCGGCGTTAGTGTACTTATAAAGGGAAGTAAGCGCTTCGAGGAGTTTGGACTACTTTCGGTATTTGCAAATAAGCACATCATGGTCTGAAATTTCGCTACCATTATTTGCTTGGTCTGACGACCCAAACAAATAAAAACGAGGCTCGAGAGAGTATGATGTGGACTTGATATGTTTTTGTTCGTTTGTTTGTTTTTTGTTGTTTTTGGGGGTTTTTTTTAACGTACAGTGTGGATTTGATGTGGGTTTTTTTATTCGGAAAATGAAAACGAGGCTAAAAAGATAAGAGTGGGTCCAATAATTATTTATATATAATTGTCTAAGACCCCTGTGAGTATAACCTTCAAGGTACTCCACTGTGGTTACAACGCTTTTTACTGGATTCGAATAAAGAATAGTATATAAATAACACATTGGTTTATTGGTTACAGTAAAAATATCACCCCGAGGAAAATACTGTTACCCGAGGCGTAGTCGAGGGTAACAGTATTTTTACGAGGGATGATATTTTTACTTTTACTCACATGTGTTATTTATTTTATTACCCCGAACAAAATACCGTGATGATCTGAAATTGTCAACTAAATCTAAATGTAACAAAAATAAACCAAGAGTAACAATAACTAACTTGTCCTTACCATTTAAGTTTTAAGTGTACTTTACTGTAGGCCTACTTGGGAAGTTTTCTTTTTCTTTTATTCTCTAAGCTAGTGGTGATATCTACTAGTCATAAACATACAATAAGCTGTGTTTTATTAGAAAACAAAACACTTACCCATTTACAAGGTTATGATCTGTGAAATCTAATCCTTCTGTTGCCAGAATATTCTTCGCATGGTTTTTGACAAAATAACAATGATATCCTATGTCTGTCCACCATGTCTGTAACGTTTCGTTAAATAATCCTTTGTTGCATGTTAAATCGTCTGCACGTTCCAGTTTGACACATAAGTATTTACATTGCAATTACTTCGGGAATCCGTTGAAAACGGATGTTTACTTTTAGACTATTCAACAAAAATATATTTTATACGCGAAAAGCACTCTAGGGTGCAAACAACTAAATTTTATGGGTGTCATAGTTACTCCAGAGAAGATGGTGATGTTCTATTGTGGTTAACGTCGAAAATAAGAATGAATCGAGAGAAAAAATGGCGGCCATTTTATTTCATTTTATTCAGAAAATAGACCACGTGACCAGATTTCATACTGTTAAAAATACTATTACCTATGTAACAGTACACTATTCTTGGTCACGTGGTACACTTGCATTAACAGTAAGAATAACTCCCAGAGGCATATAGGAAATTAACATTACGAAAAAAGTGAGGGGTAATAACACAAAATACGACTTTCAATTTACACTGTATTTCTAAGTATTTATTAATTATCTCTTGCATATCTTTCTGTTTTAATTGTCCCAGTTGATATATGTAAGAAATTATTTTTTTATGTTTTAGGCCTTTGGACCTCAGTGTAGTTCATACAAATACGTACAACTTCTTATTCCTTGTCCCTGTTTACAGGCTCACTGCGAAAAAACGTTCCCAGTGATGCTTATCCGCCTGCAGGATCTGGGCCAAATGGGGAGATAATCTGGCCTGACTTATCTAACTACGATTAGCATGGAGAATAATACAAAAAATACTTAAACAATATAAGTTAGTACATGTATTATAAAAAAAGACAGCTTGGAATCACGTGCATAAGCATGTAGTGGCAACATGGCAATAAAACATTTTCAGATTGCAATTTGATCATTTATCACCTCCTGACGTTAGAGATCTCTTCCAGCAAGATTCATACCTGGGAATTAAAAATAATTACAAATCAATAATTATATTGTAGCCACTGTACCGATTTTAGTACAGGTGATATGTTGTTAAATATATAAACAATTTGAAACATGAAAATTGCATATATAATGGCTGTACAATTTTTCTCTTCTCTTTTTTTATCTTGTAGATTTTTATAGTGCTATTCGTCGGTAATATATTATATATACACTTTAACTTCTGCATAAATATATGGAAAAATCTATTATCTTCAAATATAGGTTAATGAATGTTTTAATATGAAACTTAAAAATTTCAATACATGCATATTTTTTAACATAAATCACATTTTGATGTACTTTTTTTCCTTAAAATAAATATATCATTGTAAAAATATTGAGCAACATTCAACTGATTGTTTGAGAATTATTTATGTCGTCTGAAGGCAAAATACATCTACAAGTTGCGTTTATTTTCTCCATCAAATAAGCAAGAGAAAAATACATGGTTACATGATCAGAGATGTCACCGATTAGTACTAGCCTCGATGAAATAAAATTTACAACAATTGACAAAATAAGCTCAAATTTTCAATTAAGCACGTATGAAAATTTACGTACCTATGTCCGTCCCACTGTGAGCACCTATTAACTTTATAAACAGAAAAAAAAGAAAAATATAAAATAATACATATAAATGATCGATCTGCATTATTTTATTTATTCCTTTATAAGAAAATGTAAATAAATCGCACTTCAAAAGAAAAACGTACTACATGTTACACGTGAATCCCGTGCAAGTCACGTTTTGTACCGTTTATTCAATGGTATAAATTCTCTGCCAAAAAGTAAAATTGTCAGATCACCACCATCGTCTTTCGAAGTCGTCTGCTGTTCTGATAGAAAATAGTTCGCCACAATGAAATTCTACGCCATTGCTCTTTTACTGGTTGTACTCTGTGTTGCCAACAGTGAAGGTAAGTGAAGTTTATTTTGATAAAAAATGTTCACAAAAGAATACGGTTTAAGATTAGAATTGGGATTTTTTCTTCAAAATGACTAAAGTCAACATCTCTAATTTCGCGTCATCTCTTATTTCACGGTAATGGCATATTTCCATATGATCAATGTTAACATTGGTCAAAATTGGCATATTTTAGTCATAAACTTAAACAACAAAGTTTTTTGGCGAAATATTTTAAATCTGTATATAATTTCGTCAAAACAGCACAACATTTTATTCATTTCTGCAAAAAGTCACAATAGTCGTTAAAATGTGTGAAGTTCTGAAACATCATTTTCATAAAGTTCCTGTTTATTAAAAAAAAGAAGATTAAGTAAGAAAATGTCAGATTTAAAATTGAGTTTTTTTATTACATTTAGTAAATTTAATCTGAAACATGAAAAAACAGAGTGTAACACCATGTACCGCGATTTAAATAATGACATTTTAATTTCAAATGGTTGACCTATGGTCTAAATTCTGATTTTGATGTTACAGCTTATAGACAATTTTTGTATCGTAAAATTCAATGTTTGTTTTTCTTCTTGTTTCAAAGAGTCAAGTACCTTGAACTAAGAGAGAAGTATAGTTTAATATATTTTATGCCTTAAGGTTTAATTCTAATGATAACTAAATGAAAAAAATTTGAAATTTGACACGATGTAATTTTGTCCAGAAAATCCGTGTAAGACCTGCCTGTCTTTAATATTTAAACTTAATATTTTCAATTTTAATTTAAAAGGATCTTTCATAGTCGACAAAGAATGCATGCCATTCAGATCTTTTTGTTTTTATATGACTGAAAAATCGTCTAATAATAAGAGAGACAAATGCTTTTTCAAATATTTTTTTTATCTACATCTCACAAAAATAACGGCTGTCCATCTATCCTCGTTGCTAGGCAACCAAACGTTTTAAAAAGCTGTCATAATGAATTTGTGTTGTCTCATTATTTTATTAGTTTTCAAATATTTACACAAATTGCATTAAAATTAAAGATAAATCAGCTAGCCTGATACAAGATGACGGAGATATTGTATTGATATGTCTGTCATAAATCAAGTTATGATTTTGATATAACAGAAATTGTGTACAGAGCATGAACGTTTAAAATTCCGTGTGTTGTAATTATAAATTACAGCTGTATAATAAATAATGATCTAAGGATGTATTTCTAATTTGGATTTTAAATCAATAATTGATTTTTTGTTTATTCTTTTTTATTAGAATATTCAAGTTCTTTTCTATAAATACAGGATTTATTTTCCGCCACAAGTGAACTATGCTAGTTTTTATACTACAAGATAAAAATATATCTTGTTTTGAAAAAAAAACACTTGAATTTTCCTGTTACATTTTCCTGTTTCCTGTATGATATACATTTTTATTTTGACATTGCAATTTTTTTATTCTGTGTATAGTCAGACAAGACACCAATGAAAATATGGAAAATATGTTTCAGTGCAGTGTAAAATAAAAGATTTTCAGTGAAAATACGGCAAATGAAAATACGCATTTTATTTCATCAATATTTCTCAATTTTTCATTTAAAGTATATAATAAAAATGGTTCTGTTATATACCAAGCCCCAGTGCTCTCAAACGACAAAAAACTCTTTTAAACACGATTAAAGCATGGTCACGTGACCTTTCTGCAAGCACTGACCGCTCTATTTTTGATTTTTTCTCTTATAATTTCAGCTTTCTGGAAAAAGAGATGCAAGAAATGTAAGTGGGGATACGGCGGCGGTGGAGGTGGCGGAGGAGGATATGGGGGCGGCGGCGGTGGTGGCTATGGTGGTGGTTACGGCGGTGGCTACGGCGGGGGATATGGCGGCGGTTACGGAGGCGGTGCTGGGGGCGGTTACGGAGGCGGAGCTGGGGGCGGCTACGGAGGCGGTTACGGTGGAGGCTATGGGGGAGGTTATGGTGGCGGATACGGCGGTGGATCTGGGGGCGGATATGGCGGGGGATATGGAGGTGGTCGTGGGCATGGCTGGAAAAAGTACTAAACGCCCTGATGATTTGAATAGGAAAATAATTATTACATAATTATTTCAATGACCTACCGATATAACAAAACCGACCGTCCAATCTTGTTCATATGTAGTATTTCAATAAACACAGTTAGCATCCAGAAATTCTTTTTATATATTATTTTATTGCATAGTGTAACTATTCGGAACCCCTCGCCGATAACTCATAAGTCACCGTAAAGAGCTGAAGTCACAACCGAAGTATGACGTAAAGCGCTGAAAATTGCATTTGGACATCTTCCTTTTCTAATGTTTGTACATTAATTAAAATGGTATTACTAGAAATATCACAAAATACCACTTTATTGTGAGATTCATATAATGCGAAAACAGTTGAATGACGATTGCTAAAGTTTTAAAACAGAGATAAATGCACACTGTAAACGCTTTATTAAACTATATGCAGACATTGCATGATCATAATTATAATGATAACAGAAACAGTTTAGCGAAGCAATTGATTTGACTCTCTCTTTTTTGTGCCATCATGAAAAATTATAAGGAGCGTCTTTAACCCGATTTTTTTGTTTTGTATGGGCCAAAACTACAAATTAGCTATAACCTGCAAATATCATAATCATAATGTAAGGACTTCAAATACCTAAAATAGTATTATAATTGAGTAGGATATGATTTCTCGAAAAGTGCTCTAATGCCAGTAAGAGAATGCAAATAATTAAAGAAACCAAGATAATCGAGAGAAAACTTTAATAACCAACTGTTATAATGCGCAACGACGCTAAATGTTGTCTTGCCGATAAATGAGCCGCGTCACGACAAAACCAACATAGTGCGTTTGCGACCAGCATCCGCACAGTCTGATCAGGATCCATGCTGTTCGCTATCAGTTTCTCTACTTGTTATAGGGTTTGTAAGCGAACAGCATGGATCCTGATTAGACTGCGCGGATGCGCATGCTGGTCGCACACCCATTATGTTTGTTTTGTCATGGCGCGGCTCAAATGTCGCACTGATGTAACCTCCGCTAAGGGGACCTAAAAATAAACAATTTTGTAGTTAAGTGTGGCAAGAAACACAATTCTAAATATTTCAAAATCTGTTTCACATGGTGATAACCAGTTGCACAGCATTATTCAACGATATATGACATACATTGAAGAAAATAATAGTTTGTATGCATTGCTCCTTAAAATAATGACTTACAGCAATTTATATTTACCCCTACCAAACAAAAATCACACCTGTAATATACCAATATGGGCCATCTTCATGAAGGTGCTGGATACTCCAGAATTCGCCCGATTCCTTTTAAAACATCACTAACACACAGTGCAATCAACGGTATTTTCAAGAACGTCTTACGAACTGTTGGTCATACGTTTAGGATTTTTCACAAAATATATCCACATTTTTTTACTTGTTTGACGCAAACTGTCAAAGCTTGATTTTTAATTTTTTCACCTGCATTCGGAGAGTCAAAAATACATACAAAGCTACATAAATATGCTTAGTTTCGGGTATAAACCCAAAGATACTGCTCATTTTCTGCACACAAATAATAATAAATTACAATGACAGAGAAATATCAAAAGTTTTCAGTACCTTCAAAACACCATGTTTGAGTTATTAAAAAGATTGACCGGACCATCATTCGGCATTTACATGATGAATTACCAAATTTTGTTCTAGAACATACTATTACCAACATCTGCATAAAATGCTTTTATAGTTTGTTATCACAGCATAAAATGCTTTATAGTTTGTTATCAAAGCATAATATGCTTTATAGTTTGTCATCACAGCATAAAATGCTTTATAGTTTGTTATCACAGCACAAAATGCTTTATAGTTTGTTATCACAGCATAAAATGCTTTATAGTTTGTTATCACAGCATAAAATGCTTTATAGTTTGTTATCACAGCATGAAATGCTTTATAGTTTGTTATCACAGCATGAAATGCTTTTATAGTTTGTTATCACAGCATAAAATGCTTTATAGTTTGTTATCACAGCACAAAATGCTTTATAGTTTGTTATCACAGCATAAAATGCTTTATAGTTTGTTATCACAGCATAAAATGCTTTATAGTTTGTTATCACAGCATAAAATGCTTTATAGTTTGTTATCACAGCATAAAATGCTTTTATAGTTTGTTATCACAGCATAAAATGCTTTATAGTTTGTTATCACAGCATAAAATGCTTTATAGTTTGTTATCAAAGCATAAAATGCTTTATAGTTTGTTATCACAGCATAAAATGCTTTATAGCTTGTTATCACAGCACAAAAGGCTTTTATAGTTTGTTATCACAGCACAAAAGGCTTTTATAGTTTGTTATCACAGCATAAAATGCTTTTATAGTTTGTTATCAAAGCATAAAATGCTTTATAGTTTGTAATCAAAGCATAAAATGCTTTTATAGTTTGTTATCACAGCATAAAATGCTTTTATAGTTTGTTATCACAGCACAAAATGCCTTATAGTTTGTTATCACAGCACAAAATGCTTTATAGTTTGTTATCACAGCATAAAATGCTTTATAGTTTGTTATCACAGCATAAAATGCTTTATAGTTTGTTATCACAGCATAAAATGCTTTATAGTTTGTTATCACAGCACAAAATGCTTTATAGTTTGTTATCAAAGCATAAAATGCTTTATAGTTTGTTATCACAGCATAAAATGCTTTATAGTTTGTTATCACAGCATAAAATGCTTTTATAGTTTGTTATCACAGCATAAAATGCTTTATAGTTTGTTATCACAGCACAAAATGCTTTATAGTTTGTTATCACAGCACAAAATGCTTTTATAGTTTGTTATCACACATGATACTGAATATTATCAACATAATTATTTATGGTATTGCATACTTCCATCATACGCAACTGCATATAATGCTCACCTTTACATAATAAGACGTGTATCCATCTATTTGCCCCTCACCGCTGTGTGTACGAATCTTGATTCTTTCATGAGAGGAAGCTGAACAACTTATGTCTCTGGTTCTACTCATGTTCCCGTTCGTGCAAAGAGGGGCGCCTTAGGTGAGGTGTTTTTTCCACCAGTAAAACTTTTTTTTTGTTAAACACTAGTAATATAATATCTAACCGAATTTCATGATTTATAAATAATATTGGTTATTCTCCCAATGTTATCGGTCAGAAACATCCGTGTATTGTCCAACAATATTGACCTGGCACTTCATTAATTTTCGGAAAGGTCATATGAATAAACATTGACTATTACCTATCGAATATATCGATATTTTTGCTAACTTCACTCGCCAGTGAGATTTGGTGTATTGGTATAGATGTCGAACTACTGATCTGAAGGTCTCTGGTTCGATACCTAACCAACACCACGTTATGATTTTTTAAAATTTAATTGCAAGAATTAATTTGAAATCGTTTTACTACACCTGGTTTTAGAATACCTTTTAAGTGGTATTTTTATGCACAATTATGTCTTTTATTTTTGTCTTTTATTTCATAAAAGTAGCTTTCAACGGTTCTTTTTGTGACATTATGCAATCGTATATGCTTAAGCGCATACATGCTATAAAGGCAGTTATTAAAAATTCTACATAGATAATACACACAATAAAAAGGTTTTCAATAGTTTAAAGAGAATGGCAATTTTCAAAATTAAAATAAAAAATAAATCGCTGAAATAGGATTCGAACCTACCAGTCTACGTCTACAAGTGAAAACTCTTTACCAACTGCGCTAAGAGGGAATTTTCATTTACACCATATTTACATTCATATCGATTTACAAGTAAATCGTAACGCTTACGGAATATACCGACTACAGGGTCAAATACAAGAGTGCCAGGTCAATGTTGTTGGACAATACACATTTTTGTCTTTTGTTGTTGTTGTTCTTCTTCTTCTTCTTTAATTTATAATTAATTTCTTCTTCTTCTTCTTCTTCTTCTTCTTTAATTTATAATTAATTGATATAACACACTTGCAACATGCTCAAAATGTATTATGCCACATATGAACTGAAAACAATATGTAAGATTTATTTTTCCATTCAATTTTCTTGATAGTTACATTAATTTAAAATTTACTAGACGTACATGTACTATAATAATAATTGTAAGAAATATCTTCCATGCGGATATATGATTGATTGGTGCCTCGATTTATATCTATTTTGCTATTTACCTTATGCCTTAAGAGAAATAAAGATATTGTATTGTATTGTATTGTATTGCCAATATGAGATTATTGTGTTGGTGTAAAGTTATGTTTAAAATATGGACTTTGCATATTGTAATTAGAAGTTTTCATTTTATATTTAGGCTGTTGCAGCTACTAATTAGGACTTACAAAGTATTAATTAAGATGCATTTATCATCTCCTAATAATATTTTATTTCTTCTAATATGGCTTTTTAAACTACTTATAAAGAGCTGATGTAGTGCAATAACCTTTATGTTGTAACAAGTAGCAAAGTCCAAATTATGCTTTTATTACTCGTAAAAGTAAAAGAAAGTCTTTACTTAGCCTTTAAAAGTCCTAAATAAAAGTAAGGAAGTTATAATTAGGATGATTTCGTTCTAAAATGCTTTTGAATATGTTGTCATTTTATTAGAGTTTCGACCATGCGACCACATACATGCATCGAGGACTTGTAAGGAAAGTGACCGTGCGACCATATACACGCATCACAGGATTCCCCTTCTCTAACGAGAAAGGGACAAAGAGCTGTCCGCCCTTTCGGTAAAGGGCAGACTTTAAAAAATATGCCACTTCCTTACTAATATCAATAAGGAGGCTAAATTTCACAGTCATATCTTAAATTTGTTTATATACAATAATAGTAATGCAAACTAAACGGGTATCAGCTTTTGTCCTTTTAATTCCGTTATGAAAATTTTAAAAAGAACATGTTTAATTTCTTTGAAAATTTTTAATTTACAGTTATTTTCTACTTTCAATTCTATGTATATCGTAGAATTTGTTTATTTTTGCAAAACATGAACGTTTCAGAAACGCTTTATATGCATTAGACATGGGAGGTAAATTACACACTTTGTGTTAACCTGGGGACATTTTTGTTTGTCGAATATAGAACTTAAATGTGTACTTTGGCAAAAATAGTAACGTTAACGTGATAGGCAAGAAACTTTACATTCATTGCTTAGTACTGGTTGGTTCCAGGGACGGACTCGTGAGTATTTCAATAACCTTACAGCTTCCAACACAATCAAACTAAAATAAATTTGTATAAACTAAACTAACACGTTAGGCTGCAAGAACAATTCTGACACGGATAAGACGGTACATATTTGCAAGCCTAATCTTTACCTGCTGAATTTGTAAAAATGCACATTTTCAAGCTTCCATTCTTTTATAATTGCCCATTTATCTGGGAATAACTAGATATAAACTTAAAAAGTTAGTCAGCCATAAGTACAGAGCCGGTTCAATCTGCACGGATATAACAAATGATAGTTTAAAGCCTCAATTTTGGGTTAAGGTAGATACGAATTATAAATAATATTTTTTTCTGCATTACGGGACTGGAATTAATTTTCAGAGATAAATGTTCCATTTGATGTAGGTTTATAATTATTACTTGTGTGCAAAATTTCAGATCTTTTGATTCCTCCGTTTTTCCAGATTTTTTTTTAATTATGAAAATGACACAAAATAGAAAGGCTTTACAACGCTTTTCATTCAAATCCAGCGAACAATGTCACATAAAATACAATTTCCAATATGTTTTTGAGTAAATTTCTTAATTTTCTTCTGCATATTTTTTTGCTTGAAGTGTCCAAGCTGATCTATATAAGACATTCAAAATTTTATGTTTTCATGCTTTTTTAGATTAAGTGAAATTCCTTTAATCAGATTGTTCCTGGCTCTATACGAGTCGCAAAGGTTAATCACTTCAAGGCCCAGGAGATTTATTGGGCTAATATACTGCTTTTTGTTTTCTTTGCCTTACTTATAGTCATATTTTCTAATATTCTAGAAATTGACATTAAATTTGCAAAATGTACCATTAAAATGCTAATTAGAATTTTAATTAAATTTTCATATTAATCATAGATATAAATGAGGATTAATATTATAGAAGGAAGACAGTTGTTCTTTTTATTTGACAGGCTACTACAAAAATGAACGTCTGCACATGTCTGTTACTGGCGGGAATTTTGGCGGTCAATGCAATGGGTTTGTTGCTGTGCAGTTTCTCTGTAACATGTTTCACTTTTCTTAGAAAAAAACTGTTTGTATTTAATATATATTTTAAATCACTGTAAGAATAAAATAAAGCAATTTAAGGTAGTTACCTTATATTATGTAAAGTTAACGTCGACAAAATGTAGAATTTTGTAAGTTCTAAAAAGGCCATAATTCTGTTAGTTAACAATACTCAATTCATGTTAGAGTTATGGGGCTTGGAAAGTGGCCGCCTTTTTATGCTTTCAAATATGTGTATGACATGTCAATCCATTCCCTCCAGTAGCTTTAGAGACACCAACTTGCATGCAATATCTAACCAAATGACGACGCCTGGATGAGAACATTATAATTAGCTCTCCCTATTTTTGGAATAGTCGACTAATCTTGATGATAGATGGACAAGTTTATCTAAGTAATTAAGCGGGTTAAGGGCTAATATAGAAAGATAAATGCATACGTAGTTCTGACTTCTTATATTTTTTTCTTTCATCCCGTCAGAATTTTAAAAAAACAAAAAACGAGTATGCTGAAGACCTTAAGCTGGTGTATGCATTGTCTCTTAACCATCTCTACTAATATTTGCCGAATGTAGTTTTTGTTTACAAAAAAGGTCCGGTATTATTATTATTGTTTGATTTTATTAACCTGTCAATTCCATACTGATTATACTGCCAATGCACAGAATATATTAATATTCGATAAATGTTCGGTTAATTCCGTGAGAGGTACCCAGTAAGATGTGATTAAATTCATCTAGTTTCTATGAATTAGTTACACTGACCGTTATAGCGCAATAGGGTAAACCACGGGTATAGAACAGCTAAATGTCTTACTTGTTGTATGATCGAGACAGAGTATGTCCAGGTTTTTTCAATATTTTTTTATAAGTTATGGTTGTTCTGTTTAGTTTTTTTTAATATTTTTTGCACTTTTTGTAAACACTTTACTTTTGTATATAACATTGTGTAAGAATTATTACATGTACTGAAAATTCGTTCGGATTAAAATCAATAAATGTAATTTCATAGCCGTAAAATACAATACAAAATGTGACTATTCAGTGTTTCTTAGTTGTTTCATATCCGTGTAGACAATTTTGCAAATGCTTGACCATTTTCATTAAAATATACTTAAAAAGAGAGAATAAGTATCAAAAGAATGTCAAAAGAAGGGATCGAACCTCGGACCTAATCACTCAACCGACTGTGCTATTGCGGATGTTACGAGAACCTACATTAAGCTAGTGGGAGTTTTCCAAACGTAATTTATACACTCCATATTAATTCTCGTAATATAACGGACAAAACCGAAGTGGGATCGATTATTTAAATGAGTGCTATAATGTATTCATAATTGGCAGGTCAATAAAATCAGACTATACGTTGGTGGAAATAAATTTAACAAATGACGACAAAGGGAGACCTGAATAGTTTATTCAACGACATAGGGACTTTAGTGCAATATTTACCATTTCAACACATTTCTCCAGGTCAAATCTAGAATGGTGTGTGCTTAATTTAACACCTTTATGTTCATATGGTTACATTAAAGTTTGAATGGTCAAGGCAAACATATACAGATACCCACAGATGCAACATTATTTCATGATTTATATGGTTACAAACAACTGTCTGCAAGCTAGGGCAAGGTAGCTCTATTAAATACCACCATTCTTTAGTATTTTATTTTAAATTTCCATTTCAAGTAAGTTGAAGATTTCTTGATATTTTTACTATACACCTTCAAATAAACAAAACACATTTTGTTTTAAACAAGTTTTCTTTATTTTTTATTGTTTATGCAAATAACATATTGAATAACAATACAAAAGTATATATAATAATTATATACTTTAAGGCAACAAATATCACAATTATATACATATACATGTATAACTTAAGGGCTGAAAGCAAAACTGGTCTATGTGTTTATAAAACAATGTTGTACATAAAACAGTTTCACGACCAGACCTTATAATGCCATTTGATGACTGAATGTTTACAAAACGTTGAATGTGATGAAAAATAGCACCTCATAGCAAAGATGATGTCATAAAATTACAATATATTCCGCATAGCAAAGATGTTTCCACAAGCAAGAATGACATATTTAGAGCATACAACATCATGAAAATGATGTATTTTCCTCAAAGCAAAGTTGGCCTCCAACTTCGAGCAAAAATAGATATTTCTCATAGCAAATATGACATCATTAAATGAGATTCAAAAAACTGAAACAAGTAAGAAAAAAATCTAAAACTTGCCATGGAAAGAAATACTTGTTACTGTTAATATGAATTTTCATTGATAAATCTAAAATAATTCCAAAATCTTTGGGACATTTATAAACTTTAACTTAAATAAAGACTTCCACAATACATGTAGAATTGAATACAAGATAATTTAAGTACATGTATTGCTGTAAACCAATACAATTTAGTCAACTTTCATTTTTTTCTTTGTAAAACTTCAAAAATAAAATTTTGAATGTACTCTAGAAAACACATTTTTCCTACATGCATAATTAATTACTTGTTCCTCAGGATAAATAATTTATTTTCATTTTTAAAAAAACTAAAATAAAATAAAACTCCAACAATTAAATATCCTATGAAATATAATATTCAATTGCATGTATCATACAATAATAAAGTATTTTTTGTATGAATATATGCAACAACAGATAAAACTCTGTTTTGTGGTAGTTTCTGAGTGAACATTTTGTAACAATAAATATGTAATTTGGCACAAAAATGATATAATGTATAAAATATTGTGAACCCATCATTATATATGGACGGACAATTTACTAAGCACGCACATTTACAGAACATTATAACAGTAAGTCAATCAATGTTGTATGTAAATTTAAACATATAAAAGTTCTTCTTCGAGACATTATAGGTACTTAATCTTTGAACCAGTCACAAAATAAATTTTTTTCATTGGTTAATTCAAAAATAAAGCCAGAAATCAACCAATGAGAGAACAGAATTATAAGACTGGTTACAAAGTTTACCTACTAAAAACACTGAGACTGGTTTACAAGTTAATTATAATGAATGCATACAAAAACAATTCAAAGCAAAATTCTGCAAATATCATTTCCAAAAGCTCTGCTGCAGAAAATAAAAATCAATACATCAAACTTAGACATCAAAAATAGAATCCAAAATACCAAAAATATATTCCTGACATTATTTAAAGTAAAAAGAGGTACATTAACAATTCTGCAAAAAAGTTTTATTGAGACATTTTTTACCAACATTTTTTTGTATTTGTGAGACACACCTTAATATACTCTTTGTAAGACTTTTGTAATTAAGTATAATGCCAAACTAATTTCCGTGCTCATTCGGCCTGCAAAAATATAAGTAGGTGTTGGGACAATTTTACTCTTTGACTTTATATCCCTGATATGTATAAATTACAAGAAAAATCCAAATCTAAGAGAAGAAGAGTTTACAATAAAAGGACCATAATTTTAGAAGGACATAGATAGTTTTGTAAATGGTACAATTTTTTTTTCAATAAACTTAACATATGTTTTTTTAAATAGACTGAACTCTTTGACTGAAAATTTGTGTTAGGCCTAATATGTCTTAAAATATACTCATATAATGTAACAATTATACAAGAATTTAAATAAATGGTATAAAATTTAATAAAACTGAAGTCTGGCCTGATGGTCATTGGATGTCTATGAACTTTCACAAACAAAATTGTAAAGACACTGTATTGCATGTAAAAGAAAATCTGATTTAATTTGTTAAATTGGCAAATTACCACTCATGAATAAAATTCATTCATTAACAATAAATTTTAAGATAATACAATTTTTACCATTCATACAATAGAGGTACACTGTCAGGACTTATATATTAATTTATATATAAATATCAATAAATAATAAACAGTTTTATAAATATCTAAATCTACTCTATCTTTAGTACTATTATATTGCGTGGTAATGCTATTAATAGAAGTTCTATTTTTGGTAGTTGTTTCTTTGGTGACAGCCTCTGATTTATTATGTATGACATCACTTCCTGTATGCACGATGTCACTTCCTGTGGTTTCTATAAATACTGTGGATGGCCTACTTGTTGTTTTCTTAACTTTTTCAATACTTTTGTCTGGTGGTTCTAAAATGAGAAAAAAAAGTAACAACATGTATAATTAAAGGAACCCCACTGACGTCCAATAGTCTAAAATAATTAATTTTGAAATTCTTTCTTAAATCAAGTGGTACATTTAAATTTGAAACCAAGCAGTAGATGATATATAAATATACACGGTATTAAATTGATAATTGATTATGTATGCGATTTTTGGCCGATTTGAGTGAAAAGCGTTTAAACAGTTTCATTTGTAGGACCAATTTGCACAATGAAATTGATTATTTCTGGGAAACAGAGTGAGCAAATTTTGTACATGAGTTATTGGTCTAGACATACATCTAGTTATACAAAGATCTTGAAAAAATATTTTCGGTCCCTTCACGTCAATTAACCTCAGTGCCCTTTAAAGCCTTAAAAATAAAATCGGCATGAAATTAATTAATAGAAATTCATTTTTTATTCTTGAGGTAAACCACCCTTTAGGGTGCCATAGAAGTTATGTATTCTATGCCATTTTTATACCACTGTGGTGCAAATTTGAAACATCTGCAGATATTTTGGAGACAAATCAAAACACGGACCTGACAGTTGGGGGAGAGAGTGATAATTAAAATATGGCCAATTCCAACCACATCACACACACACTTTAATAGTTACAATTGACCATGATTTACCACTACATATCATGACTGCACAACCACAACAGAACACAATTTACTACCACAGACCATGATTTACTTCCACAGATCATGACATGATTTTCCACAACAGATTATATAACTTTCTACAGAACATGATTTTCACCACAGACATGATGACGTGATTTTCCACAATAGAATATAACTTCTACAGAACATGATTTACACCACAGACCTGATGATTACTGACAAACCATAATAATCAAGACAGACCATTATTTACCACAATATATCTTCATTTTCCCCAACAGATCATTATGTTCCACCACAAACCATAATTTACCACAACAAATCATGACTGACCACCAGAGACCATTATTTACCACAATCATCCATAATTTACCACAATACATTATGATTTACCACAATATATTATGATTTACCACCCAAGACTTACCTGGATCTTTATCTGATCCACATGGTAGAATTAGAGGAGTTAAAATTTCTATTATTGCTGGTTCCCCAAGTCCAGCACTTGAAACTGCATGTACTTGTATGTAATATACTTCTGCTGGCTTCAAGCCAGGTACCAGAACACTTGTTACCTAAAATGAATGTAAAATACTTCACTGGAAAAATATAGACCAATTACTAGCATGTGAAATATGCGAGATAAAAGTGAAAATTCTAAAAATTCAAATTCATGTACTACCATTAAGTTCTTTGTCAATCTTCAAAATGAGGAACTGTTTTCCCCCATAATCTTTGTGAATAGCTCAAACTAAAACAGGCAATATTATAGTGCAAATGTTCCGATATACACAATTTTTTTCAAGCAAAAATACATTTATGTTACATGATAAATGATATCATGACTTTGTGATAATAATATCTTAAATCATAGTAGGTATTTATCTTGGATTTACATTTTTACAAACTCAGTCCAGGTCATTTGGTGACTTTGAAACTTTATTCAGGCTCTCAATAAAGAAATATGTTGATAATAATTAACCCGCTAAAATATTTTTTTGATATTTTTAACCCATAACCTGCTGGAACCAAAAGTCACAAGCCTTTGCCACAAGTATAGAGTCTCAGCGCACACTCATGTGCAGTCTAACTAAGCTTAAAAGTACTTGTATCCCCTTGTGGCTGAGAGGCTGCATTTAAGGGTTGAGGCATCAGAATCACAGCCACTGTTAATAGACTGTATGATCGTAAGAGGCGACTAAATGGTTTCAAATTACTAGAGTCTATGCATCCCTAACTTCCAGCAGATGAAGTGCTTTTGACCCCTGGTGTTGCTTTAAGTTTATGAACAACCCAGGTAAGCCAAAAATCATCATACCTATTTCGGTGCCATATGACCTTAATTGTGTTGGTATGCCATAAAACCAAACAACACAAACAAACACCACTGGTGGCTCAATATTTGTATTTTGAAATTGAAATATGTTAAAAATTAAATGGACAGGCCCAAATTCATAACTATAGGCAATTCCATTATACAAATTCAGCAGAAAAACTTATTTTAGCCAGGTCATGACAAAACCAACATAATGGGTTTGCCACCAGCATGGATCCAGACCAGCCTTTGCTATCTTAATTTAGTTTCTCTACTTGTAATAGAGTTGGTAAGCGAACAGCATGGATCCTGATCAGACTGCGCGGATGCGCAGGCTGGTCTGGATCCATGCTGGTTGCAAACCCATTATGTTGGTTTTGTCATGGCATGGCTCATTTTATAAACAAGATTGTGTTTACCATTCCTAATCTAATCTCAAATGGTTTTTGTTTATACACAGTCCCATCTGTGTTCACCTTCTCCTCTCTGAAATCATTTGTCTGCTTGTATGTCACCAGGTAAGATTCTGAAAAATATACAAAAAATATAACCATAAAAGTCAAGGTTATACATGTATTATTATAGGTATAGGTATCAAGGTAATATGCCAAAAACAGTTGCTGGTCCAATGGTATCTCAATTGTGCCAAGTATGAAGATGTTTATGACAATGGTTGAAGTTGTTCATTAATTCACAATTTAACAAACAGACAGACAGACAGAGGTCCAAATACAAGATGATTAAGGACCCAATATGCCAATAAAGCCCAAAAAATGTTATCATTCTTATTTCTCAGAAACTGTTTATTTTTGGTATCTTGTAACAGTTTCTAGAAACATAATCATTTGGCAAGATTTGCTATGAACATGAACTTTTTTGTGGATCTTCAGTTCTGTTAGCAACTGGTATAACTAAAGTAAATTAGTATTTTGTATGGAAGTCAAAAAACTACTTTGTTTACATTTTGCTACCTTTACAATACATAACTGCAAGTTCAGTGCTGCTTTTTCAGTTTTAAATCATCTAACATGCTCTTGATCCATTATTCTATTATTTAAACATTATTAAACACAGGGAATAAAAAAAATATGGAATTCTCGGGCATAATGTACCTTTAACAGGAAACATAATATTTTTGGTCATTATCTCCCCCCTTAATCCACCTAAGCAGCTTTCCTGGATAACTAACCAGCAATAATTTCGCTGTGTAATAATGAAACCCCCATAGTGTAAGTGTTCACAATAGACGTGTATGTTTACAAACCTATGGGAAGATCTGATTTAGGATGTTTCCAGGATATATTGATATCAATACTGCAGTTGTTCTTGATTGTGATAGCGTGGATTCTCCTTGGACTTCTAGGGACTTTTGGAACTAAAATACAAAACATAGTATGTGTGGTTTAAAGTAAGCAATGCAGAAATAATGGGGAATTTTGGGAATTGACGAAAATCACTAAAATTCCTCTAGCATAAATATCAACCAATCTATCATTAAATTCTACCCTTGCAAGATTCACTTAAATTTCCTCATGCCAAATGTCTGGAATTTTAAATTCGTTAACTTTTGGACATGCGGAAATATCCACTTTATGATGATACAGTATTTACATTTCTTGCTTATAATCAACAGCTGTATGAAGAAAGAAAAGAGGCATGTTTACTTTTCAATTACAAAATATTAATATCTACATTAATATTATGTAGCAATATTATTTCTTAATTTTCTTTTCTAAGATCTGGTATCTTGTTACAGAACTAGTTTTCATTTGCCATAAACATGGACTATCTGTTGCACTTATAGCGCTAGTTACAATAGGTATAATTAAAGTGAGTAAGTATTTTGTATGGAAGTCAAAATACTAGTTTGTTTACATTTCGCTCCCTTATTGACACTATTGCACATTCGGCGCTATTTTTTCAAGTTGTTAAATATCTTATATGCTCTAAATCCATTATTCAAACACTTTTAAACACATACTTGACATTTCTATACTCAAGAATTAAAATTGATTTCTGAGGCATAATGTGCATTTAAGCAGAAATTTTCCCATTTCACTTATTGAAATATAAACCAGTCAGCTGAATAAGAAAAATATAAATACCTTAATTTCTTGTGATGATTCAAAACTATACCTCCATACTTTAATCCATCTTACAAGATCTAGGTTAAAATGCATTACTTATTAAACAAAGTTGTTACCTCTTTGAGGACATTCAGGTGGAAGACTGTTCCCTTTCACATAGATTTTCTCACATATCGGGGTGACTAGTTTAATTGATGTTGGCTTTCCCTGAACACCTGACTTGGTGACGGCACTAACATTTATATTATACTGGCATTCAAATTGCAGATCATACACCTCAAATACTCCAACCTGCAAAAAAAACCCCGGCAATTATACATTTTAGTAATATGACAGAAAAAACAATATAGATAGTTCTTGATTTTTACAATATTTACCTCCCTTGCCAAATATGGCAGCCATTTTGGGGATCAATATTCTAAGATTAAATTATATAATTGACAAAATATAAAAAAATCAATTTAAACTCAGAGCCGATTAACATGAATAGTCAAATTCTTTAATACATATGCAGAACAATGTTATTATTATAGCACCAAAATGTGAAAGATTTTTAGTAGTTTTTCATGAAGATGATTAATATTATGAGAATTTTTTATCTTCTCTTAAGAAGATAATATATTGGGAATGACCCCCAAAATGGTGTTAAGGGGTGGTTACAAAATTCCTGCTATGTGAAAAGCAACTATATGGAGCATTGATAGGTTTTCAGTTTTTCTTTCAGCTTCCATCTCTTACAAAATTAATTCATTCCAACATTTTCTTTTAATGTAATTATTTGCAACTTTGAACTTTAATAGACATCTGCATTCTTTAAACAATCAGAAAGGGAACATCTATAGCTGAATATTATGATTGCAGACTTTGAAATTTCTAACAATCTTCTGCGGGTAGGTTAAGTTAAGTATTGTTTTATGATGCAACAACATATTCTAGGTCATAATGGCAACAAAACAGTAAAGATGATTTTGGCTTAAACCTTAATTGGGACTGACTAGGCCAGACTAACTATATTTGCCTTAGTACAATCAGTAAAAACAAATGAGCCATGTCACAACAAAACCAACATAATGGGTTTGCGACCAGCATGGATCAAGACCAGCCTGCGCATCCGCGCAGTCTGATCAGGATCTATGCTGTTCGCTTACAGACCCTATAACAAGTAAAAAAAACTGATAGCGAACAGCATGGATCCTGATCAGACTGCGGGGATGCGCAGGCTGGTCTGGATCCATGCTGGTCGCAAACCCATTATGCTGGTTTTGTCGTGACGTGGCTCAAATAAAAACTCACATCTGAAGTTGCCTGATACGGCTCTAAAACAGCAAAGTCCTGGTCACAGGAATAGGGAGTCCAAAATATCATAAAACTTTTAACCACACTTTGAAAATCTGAAAAAAAGTTATTTCAATATTGTATGAATTGTTACCTTTATGATTTAAAGAGTCATTAAATAATTTATCAAAAATCCTAAAAATAGTATTCTTTTCCTAAACATAATTTTTAATAATCATTTAGACATTAATTTTACAATTATTATGTACATAAAACAAAACATTACTATCAATCAATCATTCACATGTATTAATAACACCAAATAAAAAACAAGGCCTGCCCACTAACAGCACGCTCCATTTTTCTCAGTGCTAGTTAAATAAAAGAAACATGATGAAAAAGGAGCATTACTTTGCAAAAAATTATTTTTAGGATTATCTGCCCTTTTTAAATGGCATCCTTTTATAACAATAAGCATGTATACAAAATTCTGGAAACAAAGTGATCCCTCGGAAGCATTAATCACAACAAAATTACATAAGAATTGCAGACTCAGTTTGATTGAGTATGTACATGAGGGATAATGAATAAGTGCAACATAAGTTTGAAACGAATATCTTTAATAGTTTCTGAGAAAATGGACCTTAAAAAAAAAAGGTTAACCAATGCAGACACTTAAACAAGGTGGTCATGACAATAAGACTAAAATTAATTTTGAAAGTTGCATGGCGGAACATCTCGATCATTTTTTTATCAAATGATGAGTACTAGTAGTTACTTGTAAGTTCTATGTGAGCAGATTTAAATATGATAAATATAAGTTGCACTAACTTAATTCACAATCAACAGGCTAAACAAACAAACTGACCAAACTAAACAAAATTTTGACTTCGAGTAATTGAAATAAAATTACGAAAATTTTTTACCTCCCCCAACTTTCCCAATGAGTTGAGTTTTTTAATGACCTTTGTCGAAAAAAGGGTCTATCATTTTGTATCTGTTTTTTTTTCTTTTTAAATAATCCCCTCAACAGGGAAATTGTTTATATGATTGTTGAAAAAAAAAACAAAAAAATGAATTACTTTAAAAAGGCACCCAAAAACAGCAAAAAATTTTGCCCCCCCTGAGAACGTTCAATAGTTGAAACCTCTCGCAAATTGATGTTTTTCCCAAGCTAATCCCCCAGTAAAAAAATTTTTTCTCCATTTAGCTGTACAGTGTACTACCTATAAAAGAAACAATTCAACCCTTTTCCCTTTTTAAAAAGAGTAGTTGTTTTAAAAAAAGTATTTTTTTTACCCCGCCCCCCCTCCCCCGTAGCCGGGAAAAAACAAAAAAAATTTCAAATTTCAAGAGTAATTAAGTCTATTAAATGCTAAGCTCATAAACTCTGAAAATGGTGATTACATTTACCTTATAATTACTTTTTATGACCTATTTGTACTGATCATTAAAACTATAAAGAAGTCTCAGTCTTAATTGTAACAGGTAAAAAATATTAAAATTTGCAGGAAAAAAAAGAGAAAATATTTGCTAAAATGAATTTCCTTTCTCTTAAATTTAAATAAAAATGTCAAAATTTATCCATATATTGTGTTTAAACCAGCAACAAAGTATCAAAATTGAGATAGTAATTTAAAACCAGTCTGTCAATATAATTCTCTACCATTGGTCCATTTAAAAGTTATAAAACAATAAAATCATTCAATCAAAATACAAAATTTCAGACTGGAAAAAATTACTTATTTTATTATTTTTTCTTTATTATGTATTAGTACCTTTGATATCTGGTTAAATAAAGTTAATATTAATTGTGCATGTTTAAATCTATTCTAGCAAATTAATGTAAAATGTTTCTATACTTAAAACAAGTTGAGAATTAAATTTCTGAACACTACGATCTAGTCTTTTAAAAGCCGCTGAATTACACCAAAGTTTTGTTAAATCCTCTATATAAAAATTATATTTTCTGGAAAATAGATCTAAAACAATTTCTTAAAGTCAGTATTATTAGTTAATTAGTGTAAATTTAAGGGAATTATTTCAAGATGTAGAAAGATTCTACTTCCAAACCCAAGTCCTTTGATGAATTGAATTTATTGCAGAGACGAAGGGTCAAAACAATTGAAATCTACAATATTGACCACATATCCTTAATGAAGTGCTAGCTTGTAATTTATCTTATAATTCAGGGCAACCTTATCATAAATCTTGAAATAAAAGTCTGCCCTGTTATTAATCTTGTAATTTAGGAACACACTGTAATAAATCTTATAATTCTGGGCAACTTTTATATTATTTCCGAGTCCATGGTTGTGCTTTATCATATGAGCCCCCGCCATGACAAAACCAACATTAAGTGCATTTTACCAGCATGGTCCAGACCCCCTGCGCATCCCGAGTTATCAGGGTCCTGCTGTTTTACTATCAGTTTGCTATTTAATAGGGTTTTTTAACAAAAAGCGGGTCCCACGACTCGGGATTGCGGCTGGTGGATCCTGCTGGTTCAAGCGTTATGTTTGGGGGTCATGGGGGCGGCCATTTTTTTTTAATAGAAAATAAACCCGAATAAATCTTTTAATCAAGGGAACCTAGCGATTTTTTTGTAATGCAGGCCCAACTTTAATTTATTGGTACTATAGGGGTTTTTAAAAATCTTTAATTTAGGGGACCATTAAAAAACATTAATTTTAATCCAGGGGCCTTTTTTGAATTTTTGCTAAAAGGGGCCCCTTTTTTTTAGATTTGTAATTTAAGTTATCTTGCATTAAATGTTTTTACAGGTAAATTTATAAATTTAAACTTTTAATATATTGAATTAATGTGCCTTAAAACATAGTAAACAGTGAACATTTCAAATGTTATCATTAAACTGAAGGGATTGCAAAAAAAATACAAGGGAGACAATCAAACAGCACAGCAAATCTGTAATTTAAAGGGAAACAACTGTTACAGAAACTAGATGTACCAAACACATGACCCATACTCATTCTAGTCTAGTCTACACAAGACACAATGTGAATGCATGCTCTAACCCTGTAACACAAATAATTCAAATGAAATTCTCAAGAAATCTCCCTGTTTTAGTGAAATAAAAATCAAAAACAAATATAAAATGTTCACACACAAATTATCATGTTCACAATAAAAATGCATGATTCTTTTCTATTAAACAGGAGTATTATTAGAACTGTTTCCTTAATTTTTCCATACACTAATGATTGCACAAAAAGCTAATATCTTGCTAAGGAATTAGCTTTTTGAATGGGCTAAAACTCTGCCAAGAATCTGGGACATTTGCCCCCATTAGAAAACTCCCCCCCCCCTCCACACCCCAGTCTAAAAACTTTACCATTGGATACAAGCAGATAAAAAAAATATGCCCTCCAAATCTATAAATCATGGGGCATAAAAACACTTTGCTGGACAAAACATTACATTTCAATCATGCATTTTTTACAGGTGACTGTGAAGAAATCTTGAAGAAGCACATAAAATAAGTATGTAAAACAACAATACAACATAATCTCCTATATTACCTGAGTGTCTATTCTCATCAACTAAAGTAGCAAAAGAGCCCTCTAAGTTGGTTAAATCTACAAAACCATTGTTAACTATATAAGTATAACATACTATAATTATCTATATTTATATTTTAACACTTATAGAACTAAGTGGGTGTAATTATATACAAGTTTCCATATTGATATTTCCTTAAACAATGATGTCACAATGGGAATCTTATGAGACAATATTACACTTAAACATAATGAGAGCTTCATATTTAATGCTAGACTTTTGATAGTAAAACAAGTGCTTGATAGTAAAACAAAACCCTGGATTATAAATGAAGAATTATCTAAGTTCAAAAAGGGTCTATTACCCGGGTGTAGATTTTCCAAGGTTTTTGGCTCAAAATCCTTGGAAAAAAACCTCGGAGTATTGGAACAAGAAAATGCAAAACTTTGCTATTAAAAAAACCTTGGAAAAATAGGGAGAGAGTGAAAAACCTTGTAAAAAAATTTCCGAGTTTTTTTAAAAAAAAACCTCGTAAAAAGTAAGACCTCGGAGTATTGGAACGATTTCCAAGGATTTCAGAATAAAAACCTCGTAAAATAATTTCCGAGGATTTTTTTAGAAAACCTTGTAAAATGAGTGACCTCGGAGTATTGGAACGATTTCCAAGGATTTCAGAATAAAAACCTCGTAAAATAATTTCCGAGGATTTTGTTTAGAAAACCTTGGAAAATGAGTGACCTCGGAGTATTGGAACGATTTCCAAGGATTTTTAAAGTGTTTCCGTGGTTTGTTTTCCAAGGTTTTTAAATGAAAACCTCGGAAAGTTTCTCACAACTGGGAATACTGTTATATTTTCGAGGATTCTTACTTAAGGGCATCAGAGAATTTTCCAAGGTTTATTTGAGCAAAAACCTTGGAAATTTCAAGAATATCCATGGAAAATCAGAAAATATAACATCCAATGAAATATTCTGAAAAGAGCAATTATATTGTCCTTTTAAGGAATTAAGAAACTTCTTTGTAATAATACAGAGCAAAAAATGATCACATGACTCACTTAAACATTTAATGTCAGTGTGAAGTAAATAGTAATGCACTACAAATGAAAAGTTAAGTTAGAAGTCTTTAATGGTAAATATTACACTCAATGTTCAGTTATAATTTTTTGGTATCCGGTTAAATTTTAATGTATTCAAATATCTATCTTTTGAATTCCTGTTCACTCTTCATGATTTTTAAATGTCCCTTAGTTTTTCCCTCACCATCACAGGGGTCACATGTGGAAAATGCTCCAGGATACAATTCCTGAAATAAATAAAGTAAATATTTAATAAAGTACAGCCATTGAAAGAAGTTAGAAAAACAATTATATAAAATCACCACTGGGCGCTTCCCTCTCCATTGGGCGCTTCCCTCTCCATGTGGTCAGGATCAAAGACTTCAAACTACTTGCCTTACAACATTGTATTTTTGACTCCTGAAGCCAGGATGGGCTTCTTCCCTCTGAGGGAGCTATCCAGCCCAGGATTAAGGAACACCTGTGGTTATACTCAGGACAGTTCAGTATGTGTAGGCAATCAGAATTACATCATTTAATTTCTTTTTTATTAATCAATAAAAAAAATGATACATTCCTTAAACGTTTCCATAGACAAAGATATCAGTTCACTGTTGATATATATTATTTTAAAAAATCAGCACTTTTGTGAAATCCAAAACTACTTGAATTACAAGTTGTTCAAGACCATTGATTAAAATGAAGGCTTTAATATTTTCAAATGACCTTTTCTGTAGTTACTTTTAAATGTTTGTCTACTGTTTTGAAATAGTGAATTTAATTTTTTTCATGTTGATTTCTATTTTTTCTTTATCAGTACTTAGTGTCAGGATTTCAAGAAAACTTTGGTAAGCAGTGTGACAATTCTGCTATGTTAAGAAAGAAACGATGTCTGTTACTATTATTTTAGATAATGTCATACTTGATGTTACAACCTAAAGCACTCTAAAAATATTGCAAAAAATAACGCTTTTCATAAGGTGATTCTGATTGCCTACACTAATTGTATCTGTCTGCTCAAAGTGACATCTGTATCAATAAAGCTGGAGAGTCATCATGTAATATTAACAGCATTTCCAACAAAGTATCAATAAAAAAATCAGTTCCAGAAACCTTCATTCATTCAAATTTCAAATTGAAACTTTCAAAACCTAGTTTTAAAACAAAAACATACTGTAGTATATTCCTTGAAGCCTTTCCTGGTCTACAGTTGGCTTCCTTAATCAATGCCTGGATGCCAATGATATACTATGATAAAACACAGCAAAGCTGGATTGCCATCTTCTTGTAGTTTGGAACAGTCTTGCAAACTTGCTTACAAGCTGTCTCTGTAATTAAAAATTTGTAGATTCAAATAATAAATGAAAGATGAAAGTTTATAAATAATGTCATCATAGTTTCATGCACTCATCTTGTTCAATACAATCATAGACAAAAATAACATTAATACTCATAAAATATCCTCTAAACAATTGTATTTAAACTAGCTTACATTTAGGCTAAAAATATAGATCTAAAATAGTTTGTATTTAATACTTATTTGAAAAAAAAACAACAACAGATTTTATGCATAAAATGTATCTAAAATTATTTACCTGAACCTTTTTACTATCATGTTTCTTTTGTTTATCTTCCTGTCCCAGGTCATTGATCTTTAGGTTCAATTACAACAACCAAACATTTCCTGAATCTTGTCACACTTAGATAAATGTTTTCTTTGAAAATTCCAAAATATGCTCCCTAACATTTAAAACAAGATATGTCCAAAATTGCTTAAAATAAATCCAGGTTTGCACTATTTCCAACTATAACCACTTGATCCATTAATGTCTGAGATTCAAATTTTTCAACAGTATAACTGAAGGGGCAATCATAATGTGAAACAGGGGTGATCCCAAAATATCAATGCCATCATCATTTTATTTTTACATTAATTTTATTGAAGGTACAAATATATCAAATGATAAATAAAAGTAAAACTTGAAAATTATAAGAGAATCACAGTTGCAGTGTCATTTTAGACTGTTTTGGATTGTATAAAAACCCAGACTCCCCCTGAATAATCACATGGAACAATCTGGTCTATCCCAGAATGCTCAATGAGAAGATTGATCATGCATAGATTATAAGAGGGAACCACCTGGGGTGCCATTAGTTTTATCTGATCAGTGTGTTATATTCTGTGTGTGAAAACTTAGTGGATGCAGTATTTATTTATCTTAATTATAAGAAAGTATCAAGCATACATATTTTACACATTAATTGTACATTATTATATATTAAAAGGACAATTAATAACTATTTATGTTTATTGTACACATAATTAATGGCAGAGTAAATTGTAATCTGAATGTATGTCACAGACTTGCTTAGTAGAATATACTATATATATACTATTTGGCATAAAAACATATATTAAAGATTAATAGCATTCTTATTTCAGTGTTGCTTACAGGCTGTCAAGAAACCCTAAGTTAAGTCTATATATAGAAAGAAACTGCAGGAAAAATACTGATGCATTTAGAAACTAATAGACATAAACACTGATTGTTTCTTTTTGTATAATTATAAGTTTTGCTCTTTTATCTATTCTTAAAAATGGAGAAGATATCTAGTAACAATATTTATAAATAATAAAAAAAAAAATATGAAAATAAAAAATAAAATTTTCAAGTCTTTCTGATCATCAGTTATTTGAATAATCTTTATCTTATTATGATTAGTTACAATACCTTTATAGCCATTAATAAAAGGTATTTTATGGCAACAAGGAATTTACATTGTATTTAACTTTTCCATGTTTTCACACTTAAATTTTTTTAATTGATTCCTCCCACAAAAATGGCTTCAGAAGATTAAAGTACAAATTTATTGAAAAGGAAGTTGGCCATTGACAATGTCCATACTAAAAATTGATTCCCTGGACCAAATCTCTCCTTTCCATGCTGTTGGACAATTGTTTGCTCTGACCATGGATTAAGAAATATCCATCGGCAATCTACAGTTGGGTTGTTATCTTAGTTTGCTTAAACTGTTGATTATTGCTTTTGATGCCCATTATAAGTTAAATCATGATTATGTCTTAACATTTTCCGAGATGAAATTTAGTTAAGTTCAATTATCCGAGGTCATTTCCAAGCTAAATATTGGCAAAGTGTTTCCAACAAATTTTACGTAAATTTTCTAAGTTCTTTTCCGAGCAAAAAAATGACAAAGTTCTTATTTCCAAGCTTTTTCCGAGCTGATTTTTGGCAGAGTGTTTAATTCCGAGATAGTTTCCAAGGTTTTCTTTATTTCCAAGGATTTTTATACAAAAACCTTGGATAAATTTTCCAAGGTTTTAAAAAAAACCTCGGAATTAAGAAAAAACCTTGTAAAACTGGTTTATTTCCAAGGTTTTTGAAGCAGTTTCCATGGTTTTTTTCATAAACCTCGGAAAATCTACACCCGGGAATTCAGTCAAAATCCATGTCAAAGTTATGGGCCTTTGATAGTGACCTATCAAGCTCTCACATAAGTTTGTAAAGTTTCAACCACATTCAACTCATACAAAAACTTAACAAAAGAGTGAGGTCAATGCTTATGTACTTCTGGTAATAAAATCAAGTTTTCCACCAATATCTAATATAAATATGACACAAAACGAAAGGGTCATCGATAACTATCCAAAAATGATCAAATCACAAAATATGCACGAAGGACACTTGATGATTATCATTCAGTGCAGTTTGGTTCAAGATCTTTAAAAAAAAAAGTAGGAGGAGTTGCGGTAGCCATTAGAGTAATTGTTTACACCTAGCAGACATTCAACAATCAAATTCAGATTTCTATTAAAACCTGGTTAAAAAAGAAGCAACTATATGCTCTCTCTTTTGTGAGCATAAAAATAGACAATGCTCTCCCTTTAGGGAGCATAACAATAGTACAATGCTCTCCCTCCATGTGGCATTAAAATAGGGAGCATACATAAAATACAATGTTCTCCCTTTAAAAAGCCTACAAATATACTATGCTCTCCCTGTAGGGGGCATGGAAATAGTACTATGCACTTCCTTTAGGAAGCATTCAAATACATGTATACAATTCTCTCCCTTTAAAGAAGCATTAAAATATACCACCACCATTAACAAATCTTAACTATATCTCAAAATTAAGTCAAATTTAACTACATACCTGGCTTGCTGTTTGGTGGCGCGTATGTTGTTATATTTTTAGATGCCCTACTGCTTCGTAACTCTCGGTTACCATGTCGTACAATAGCTTCAATCTGTAAATACGCAAGTTATTTTATATGACCAAATACCAAACCTTGTTTTATATCTTAAATTTGAGAACTGGATAGAGCTGACCAAATGTTGTTTTCTTTCTACATTGTAAATTCTGTAATTTAATGTTCTGAAGGTTGCAAGCGAATTTTATTACAATTTCATACCACTTCTAAGCACTTGTTGCATGGGCATTTCTCATTTGTAGAAGCAGAAATTTCTAAGTCAACTGTAACAATTAATATGTAAAAAGATTTTTTTTTATAGCTCCATGGTAAAAGAAACAATTCAACCATAAACATATGTAGATAAATTTGATAGATTTTCAATTTCATGTTTCTTATTTAAGAAATAATATATCCCAAACAGTGATTTTATCGCTCAATAACATCACTGTTTGTAGTTCGGATGCGAGGAATTATATTATATAATGATGCACATTCGAACGACAAACAGTGATGTTATCAAGCGATAAAATCACTGATTTGGATATATTATTTCAATTCTAACATGACAACAACAAATAAATGCTGCCGTACCTGATATTAAACAAAATTGCGCCCGATTTGTTTCCGTACTTATTTTCAGGGGGTCGTATTTTATGTGGTTACATCACATGCATAATGATTACATCACATATCTAAATATAGAATATCAACAGTGATTTCATTGCATAATAACACACACTTTCGGTTCTTCTAGAAGTGAAAAATGCGGGTCGTGTTAGAATGATTATCATACACTTTTGATGATGATATTTCTGAAATTAAACAAAAAGTTACCTTTATATTATATGTTTCCCCTGGCTCTAACTTTTTAAGTTTGAACTCATGGACATGCTGAAATATAGAACAAAAATTAATACATTTAATTTAAAAAATCTAGAAATATTTGAAAAGTAATAAAGCAAAATCCTTAATATTAACTATTAAGAGACAATATTATCACCCCATGTATTGAATTTATCTCTGTATATCATTGAATAAAAAAATATTGAATACTGAGAGCAATTTGTCGTACTATAAAAATTATGCAGGTAATTTTTACAAATATGAAATTAATGATCATCAAAAAACTTTCTGGCTGAACAAAATGAAGAAACATAAAACAATACTTACCCCAGAGACAGTTTTCTCAAATAATGGAATTCTTTGTAACGTCGGATATATTTTAGACAATTTCTTTACCCAAATGATCTAAAAACAAAACAATTGACAGTAAAATAAACAATAACAGGAAATATAAATTCTGATAAAATATATATCAAATTATAAAATACTGGAAATACGTGCAAAAGTACTTGATCATTCTGTGAAACCTGGATCCTTACATATTTTACAATAAGGGAAAGCTAGACTTAAGTGTATCAGTATATATTTATGCACAATCCATCTGCCTGGCTACCATTCTCTTTGACAATCTAAAAATTGTAGTTTTCTGTTGGAAAGCAATGAATGTACCTCGAGGAGTGTAGGACAAAAGCCCCCCCCGGACAAAGCCCCCCCATCTAAAAATGACAAGGTGGACAAAAGCCCCCCCATGAAATTTACACATAGGACAAAAGCCCCCCTTAAAAAAGTAAAGGTAGGACAAAAGCCCCCCCATGGTCCATCAAATTTACATGTAGTGTAAATGAATTAATAAAAATGAAAACAATTTGTTTTAATGTTTATTTATAATGTATATATTGAAGTGATAACAAAGTATGATAACAGATGAAATAATGCATGCATGCGATACTGATTTCATAGTTTTTCATATACACAACAAGCGTCAGAAGAGTAGTGATGTTTTATCACTTTTGTAAAGGGATCAAATTAATATCCTTAGCACTATGTCACCTACATGACTGTGATGTCCATACATATTTATTGAAAAAAACATACACATACAAATATATGTTTTCTATTTGCTAATTAGATAAATATAACAAAATAACCAAATTAATTGAAAAAAGGCAGATATTTATACATTTACACTATATGTAAATTTGATGGACCATGGGGTGGGGGGGGCTTTTGTCCTACCTTTACTTTTTTATGGGGGGGCTTTTGTCCTATCTGGAAATTTCATGGGGGGGCTTTTGTCCACTTTGTCATTTTTAGACGGGGGGGGGCTTTTGTCTGTATCCCTACCTCGAGTATTAGCCTTTCATGTTCATAGGCTGATTGGTTGTTCCTATTATGATATGGGCACCATAGTAATGTGTACTATTTTTAATTAAAATAAAAGGAAAATGGAGAAGTATAACACTCCAACACCAAACTGGTTGAGGTTACTGATTATCTACCAGTATCAAATTTTGGTTAATTGGGCACAATAATGTCATAAATATACCATGTATTTCCAGACAGGAATGTCCGTGTATTTGGGCGGCTCCCAGTGTATTGTAAGATCTACATGACCTTTACGCAAGGTCGTCACGCCTTCTGTGATGTTTTGTGGTGGCATAGGACGCTGTACACCTATAAATATAGGAAAATATATGTTACAACTGGCTATTTGCAATAGTTTAACCTTAATACACTGCTTTCTGTTACTGAGCAATCAGTGCATACCAAGATTAAAGCTGGTATACAAAATTTGTACCATCTAATCATAGTCTGAATTGATAGCCTATTTATAATGCACTCAGTACATATTTTAAAAATTTCAGCTTAAATTGAAGATTTGTTATGGCTATATTTGAAGAATCTTGGACAAGTCCATTAATTTTTCCATCTTTCAATATGGACACAGAACCATATTTATCATTTTTTTCAAAACATGATTGTACTGACTGAATAGTGAATAGGACAGAATAGTATCATCAGACACTCAGCACAGAACTGCTGTGCCAGCTAATCTTGGTATACACCTTAGGGTTAATAAAGTTTGGAACCAAATTATTGTCGTACAATAACACATAATATTTCTTCCGGATTTCGCACCTGTATTTATTTATTTTTTTGGCAAGTTACTGAGACCTCACATATAAAAATATACTTAATAACAGCAGTGGCAAACAAACAAGTTTAATAAATTATTGTTATCATTCAAATCGTCACAGGAAATATAGTCATATGTGTGCCGCACCCATAGCTTAAAACTTCCCAGTCTATAGGGTGCGCCCAGATGTTAAAACTGCAAAATCTCAGGATTCGTTTACATAACCATTGCACCTACTGGGCTTACCCGCAGCTGATTGTTTACATAATTATTATTGTGACAGACAGGTATTACTAACATAGAGCCTTTTTTTGCTTTTTTTCGTTTGTTGATTTTCGAATCACACTGACATTGCGAAGGTCAGAATTATGGTGACTTTCCAGCTTTACTTATATATGTATATTACACACAATGCATATTACAGCTCCATGTGAAACTATATACCTGAGTGAAATATTAATCCTAGAAACTGCATGTTTTCTCCATCAATCAAACTATAGCTGGATTATAAGTGTCAAACTGGGTTTTTTACGGTGATAAAATGGTAAAAGATACCAGGTAAGTCAATAAAAGATTATACGCTACATGACAAAAATAGGAGCAAGGACGAGTTTCAGCTACAAAATATATGAAACCCTTCTACATTTAGTATAGCTGACTAAAGGGAAAAATCACACCAAAAATTTTTTGTTGCTTCAAGGGAGGTAAATCTAGAATGCCTATTCAATTAATTCAGTACACACTACAGTTGCCTCCCCTGCATATGAATGATTTGGCAGTTAACCCAGATCTTTTTATTGGTAAATTAATAAATAAAGCTTAATCATAGTTAAATACAAATGTAGTTCACACCTATTGACATTTTGATAATTGCATGCCTATATATATTAGCTAAGTTCATTGACAATTTTCATATGAATGACTAATTTTGATTAAGTCTTGTCAGGATAAACAAAATTGAACAGAAAAATAGAGAAACCAGTGTAAAACTTACACACATAAAATAATTGGCAAAAAGTAAATACATGTATATATTCTGCTCTCTGAGGAGATTGTGAAAAAAAAGTATTTACACATGAAAAATTGCTGATCTTTTCTGCATTGCAAAGCATATTGTTGTAGTTTTAGCAAGGCACCTGGTTAAGGTTTGATTTAATGATTGAGTTTGTATGAGAATTGAGACCTCATTTGTTGTCATTATTTATTACTATAAATCTGTTGGGGCTAAGACTGTGTATCAGTCTGGGAGATTTAGTTTGGTAACTCTGTCAACGGGTACCTGCATAAATTATGGACAAGAGGCCTGCAATTGTTGTGTTTAGGGAACTCAATCATTGGTTACCATCATAAATATTCCAGGAATCAGTCTGTTTGTTTCTGGTACAGTTACTTGATCAACACTTGTCGTCATAAATATAGAAGGCTTAAATTTGTCAATTATTGTTTGATTTTATTAACCTGTCAATTCCATACTGATTATACGGTCAATGCACAGCATATATTAATATTCGATAAATGTTCGGTAAATTCCGTGAGAGGTACGCAGTAAGATGTGATTAAACTTATCTAGTTTCGATGAATAAGTTACACTGACCGTTATAGCGCAATAGGGTGAAACTACGGGTATATTTTATCTGAATGTCCAACGTATTGTAAGATCGAATCAGAGTATGTCCAGGTTTTTTTCTTATTCATAACTATTTTCAACATTTTTGAAGTTATGGTTGTTCCGTTTTTAATATGTTTTGCACTTTTTTGTAAATACTATACTTTTGTATATAACATTGTTATATTATAACTGTTTGTTATAATAGAATTAATTCTGAAAATTCATTCGGATTAAAATCAATAAATGTAATTTTAGTACCGTAAAATACAACACAAAATGTGACAATTCAGTGTTTCTTAGGTGTTTCATATCCGTGTAGACAATTTTGCAGGCGCTTGACCATTTCTTTTTTAAAAATCTTAAAAACAAAGAAAGAATAAGTCTAAAAAGAATGTCGAAAGAAGGGATCGAACCTCGGACCTCTCATGCATTAGGTAATCACTTAACCGACTGCGCTATTGCGGATGTGACAAGAACCTTTCTAAAGCTAGTGGGAGTTTTCTAAACGTTATTTATATACTCCATATCAATTTTCGTAACATAAACGGACACAACCGAAGTGGGGTCGAATATTTAAATGAGTGCTATAATGTATTCATAATTGACAGGTCAATAAAATCAGACTATAACACTAAGGTAACCTCCAAATATGGAGAGACAAGGTATTTCATATAAATACCGGTTCAAGATTTTCTAGGGGCATTCTAGATTGAAGGTTGAAGAATAAGATTCAAAATGCAAGAGTGAGATTGTAAGAGCTAGAGTCGGGATAGGGATTTTTGAGAGTTAATTCTCAGTGACTTATCAACCATGTGTGAGGAAGAAAAACTCTGTAACTTTAATTATTAATTGTAGAGTAGAAATTTAGGACACTTTCAAACAAATAAACAGTGAAATGAAATTAAGAACAGTTCTTGTGTATATTTTATGTGGAATTATGGAAGTAGTAGAAATTATAAATTACGAGAGAGAAAATTTTATAACAATATTTCACTCGAAATTGGGCTAACATTATTGCACTAAATATTGATCTTTAATATTTCATTATTAAAGTATATTAATTTCTTTATTATCTGTTTAAGATTTTTCCATTTTAAGTGCTACACTTGATTTATGTACAAATTTTATGTTTTTAGGCTTTTTGACCTCTGAGTGGAGGGTCCTCAACTCCTAAAAGTAGAAACACATGAGCCGCGCCATGACAAAACCAACATAATGGGTTTGTGACCAGCATGGATCCAGACAAGCCTGCGCATCTGTGCAGTCTGATCAGGATCCAGGCTGTTGGCTTACAACTCTATAACAAGTAGAGAAACTGATAGCGAACAGCATGGATCCTGATCAGACTGCGCGGATGCTCAGGCTGGTCTGGATCCATGCTGGTTGCAAACCCATTATGTTGGATTTGTCATAGCGCGGCTCACATGACAAACACTGTGAGGCTAATGTATACTTGATAGTGGAATAAAAACAGCTCATTGAAAAAGGGGTCTTAAATTTTGTAATAATTCACAACAGATGTATGTACTTCTGTATAGAAATCAAGTAGTTTGTAAGTGTCCAAGAAATACCTTAATTGCTTTTATTAAACCTTGAAAAAAATGTGATTGCACAAAAAATGTTAACCAAAATTACTAAGTCACAATTAGGATCATGGTACCCGTGAGTGGTACAAAAAGAAAAATCAACCAAAAGTGTGATGCTGATTTGGACAAAGACGCAAGTCAATTTGGGAGTTGAACACACATCGTTCTCTATCATATAATTGAATATATAAGATGAGCTGAAACCCCCCAAAATGATGCTTAGATTTAGACAAAGACCCATGTCAATTTGGGAGTTGAACACCCAGCCCTCCCTATTATATAAATGAATATATAAGAGATAAGCCAAAACCCAGCAAAAAAACTAACATTTGATGTACGTGCACTTACGTATTCAGCGTAGGCCATACCTCATAATAAAAGATTGATCATCGCAAAGTTTATATGACAGAGGTAAATCTCTTCTTCACTTTTTTATTTCTTTAATTTGAATGAATAAGCAGCCATTATAAAGCGTTATTTGTCCGTTAAGTGGACCGCCATTTCGAATCTCAAGTATTCGACAGAATTGCTTGCTTCATGGGCTGCATATTAATGTATTCCTTGCTATCGAGGAAAATACGTTACCATATTCATTTTTTTATGAACGTGTTATAAGTTCAAGTTTTGAACAGATCTGTCTTCATAAATTGGCATTTAAAGCTTAAAACTCAGGTATGGATTTTAGACGTCCTGATAAAACTGGATAATTCATAAAACATTCGGGAACGTTTTTTTCGCCAAGAGATATTTCAAGGTTTCTTTGTTAACAATGAATAAACTTGAAGTATGCTTATATTTATTTTGATAGAATAAACATACGAAAATGGATTGTAATCATGAATTTTATTTGGAGTTCACTGCGTTAAATTAAAAACTGTTTAAGCTTTACCATGCTTGAACCGTAAGCCTTTGCCACCAGTATAGAACCAGGCCTGAGCCTTAACGTCCATGCACTCTAACCAGGCTTTATACTGCTGGCAAATTAACTTACAATTTTGATGTTCATATCCCTTAATTTGATAATGAACACTTCCAATAATGGAAGCAGGTCAAGTCCATTTAAGAAATTCAGCTTGTTAGGGGTAAGTGTTTCAATAAGAAGCTTTAAACTTAGTATCAAAATGAACAGAAGCAAACAGTTAATGAAAATATTTCATCTATAACACAGGCTCCATTAAACGAAGCCTGCCACATTTTCAATTTTGCTTTTTTGCTAATTTTCGGGCATTCTTAAAGGGTTCAATTTCTCTGTATTCGTGCACTTCACCTTATACATAAATGCTAGTAGAACTTGCCCAAGCTACCTATTTTCAAATATCAACCTTCTACCAACAAGATGGCATTCTTACATTGTTTGTTTGTTTTGTTTTGGGTTTTACGTCACATCGACACAGTATAGGTCATATCGCGACGTTCCAGCTTTACTGGTGGAGGAAGACCTCAGGTGCCCTTCCGTGTATTATTTCAGGCACGAACGGGCACCTGAGTAGAACCACGGACGTTCCGTAAGCTAGCTGGATAGCTTCCTCACATGAAAGAATCCAATGTCCCTGTCGGGATTCGAACCCACAGCGGTGAGGGGCAAGTGGTTATTCTTACATTGAATAATTCATGTACCCTAGGACTTTCTGAGCCTACCAGGTAATACGTCAACTCACAAAGGTAAAGTCAAATACCAGACACAAGAAGTATGGTCAATCAGCAAAGGTTAATAATGGTCAACCAAAACCCGACTTTCTATATTTGGGGAAAAAAAGGGGCTATTATTCTCTAAAACATTCATAATTAAATAAAAGAAGCAAAAAAATATGTGCAAATGGGCTGAAAGATTGGTTGCTAAGGAAGTATATGCTGAGTTGCATACATCAGAAATTTACGCCAAGCTAAAATCTTGCCCATCCGCCGGTCCACATACAACAATCTAATAACCAGTTCTTTTCTCTCTTTAGAAAACCTGGTTGAAGAAATGATATAATTTAACTTACGCCTTGATGATTTGAATGGTGATGATGGTGAAGAATATCCCTGAGTTCCACTAACCGTTACCGCGGCAACACGATACTGGTACCAGTGTCCAGCGTGAATCTCTTTCAACAATATACTCTTTGATAAAGTCTGTAATAAACCCATAATAATACAATTAATGCAGTAGTTAAAGGGACTCCACTGAGGTTTTTTGAAATGATGGGACTGAAAATATTTTTTCCAGATAAATACACCATTTGATGTAGGTTTAGACCACTAATCTTTGTGCAAAATTTCAGATCATTCGTACAATTCGTTTTTCCAGAATAATTATTCAAAGTGTAAAAAAACGACCCTAAAATGAAAAGCGCTTAAAAGCATTTTACTTAAATCGGGCTATGAAAAGCATAAAAATATGATTTTCAATTTATTTCAAAGTATATTTCTTTACTATCTTTGCATATATTTCTGTTTAAAGTGCCCCAGCTCATTAATTTTATGTAAGAAATTCAAATGTTATGTTTTAGGCATTTAAACCTCAGTGGAGTCCCTCTAAATCATAAAAAATTAAGAATTTCTATATTACAATATGTTTAAAGTCTTTTGTATAAAATATATATAAAAACTTAGGATTGGTCAAAGGCAAAATTGATTCATTTCAACATATTAAGCCTCTGACATAACTCCTAAATATTTACTGCTGGGACCGACTTTCTAAGTGGCGGAGCCCTCTTTCCTGGTGACAGAGACATTGTAATAAAAAATGTACCTAACAATTTGTTGTTTTCAGTCTGCTTTCTTGGTTGGGTTTTATTTCAGACAATTACTTTATAGGTCATATGGCAGCTTTCTACTTTGTATTTGGAAAAGAGGTTCTTTAAAGATGATCCTTAAATTCCTGTCTTATATTAAGTCACAATTGTACAACTGAGTAGTTGGCGAATAAAACCACCAACCTTCTATAATCTAGGCAAATATCTTCCTCATGTGAAGAAATTCAAAGATACTGGTCAAATTTCAACTCTTTGTGATTGAGAGCAAGTGATTAGAAGTGGTTAAAACTTTTTCGATACTGAAACCCCATTGAAATTACAATGAATAATTCCGCATTGTCAAAGGACAAATCAATGATATAAATATAGCAGTGACAGGCTGTTATGTAGAAACTTAGCAGTGTCAGGCCATTGTGACAGTGACAGATGTCATATATTACATTTTCTCCCATGACGCTGAAATTGTCAACTATTTGCTTCATTTTTTTATTGAGGAATTCTCACCTTTTTCAGATTTTAAAACATAGATGTGAACACAGTTTGGTTTAAATTATTGCACTGATTACTAACAAATCTGGCATTTCATCAAGTTTGCATGAACTTTTGTTATTCAAAATATGACATTTAAAATGCTTTGTTCTCATTTATCCCAAAACACCAGAATATCTCTCTTGTGTTGTTATGAATTAAAAAATATAATTTAAATTTCACACATACATCTGAACAAAAGAACGTAATTTATTACATTATCATTTGAAATGAAAAGAAATAAATGTTTCGATGCAAATTTCAAATGGGGTCACATTTCCGAAAATCGTAATATCTCTGTAATTACTGAAGGCTGGTGTGGATAACATATTATCATTCTTAGGAGGAAATTATAAGGTTTTAAAATACATGAAAATTAAAAATGAGATCAAATGTTAAAATTTGCTATCAGAGTTGGTTTTTTTCAAGTGACGTGCTCAAATTTTTCACAACTCACTGGACGGACACAAGAGTGCCAAAACAGGTATAATATTAAATTTTGTGGCCAGTAATTTTTAAAGATTCTCTAGGAAAATAGTCACTATTAACACTAGAAGTGCAACGATACCTTTCGATGCATCCAAAACCGGTTTTATGAGCGCTGATTCAATTTCCGATACCAACTGTAACAATTTCGATTTGATTCCTAACCAAAAATAAATTCTGTTTATTTAACACTTACCATGCTAATTATCTTACAATGGATTTGTCAATCTTTCAATCTGCATGGACAAGATCATGTATGGACTTACTATTATTAGAGAAATTTTCCAAATAGTTTATTGTCACCAGCAAACAGAGCAAAGCCCAAGATCAGACAGCATGGAAATGGACAATGGATGGTCAGCTGATCTTGGTCTGCACTGCTTGAATGATTCAATAGATTCTTAAGCATGGGCACAAGAGTAACAAAAACCTGAATATCAAATTTTGCGACCAGCAATTTTTAAAAACTCTCTATAAACATAAAAGATCACTAAAATACCACTACAACGCTAAATATCTTAACTGGATCTTGATGACAATTAAAAGATTGTGCATTCACTGGAGTAAGCATGATTAAATAAAGATGAACTAATTTTTGAAACAAGAGCTGTCGGTAGGACAGCAACGCTCGACTATTCTTAGTGCTTGATAGTAAACAAAAATGCTTGATACAATTACCTCCTGCTGTTTACAGGTTGGGGTAATGATGGTGAACAAGTGTGCAAAGTTTCAAAGCCATATGTCAATGGACTTTGAAAATATTTGAACTATTACAAAACTTTAACGTAAATTCTAAGTCGAAAAAGGGGCATAATTCTGTCAAAATGCTTGATACAGTTACCTCCTCCTGTTTACAGATTGGGGTCATGATGGTGAACAAGTGTGCAAAGTTTCAAAGCCATATGTCAATGGACTTTGAAAATATTTGAACTATTACAAAAACTTTAACATAAATTCTAAGTCGAAAAAGGGGCATAATTCTGTCAAAATGCTTGATACAGTTACCTCCTCCTGTTTACAGATTGGGGTCATGATGGTGAACAAGTGTGCAAAGTTTCAAAGCCATATGTCAATGGACTTTGAAAATATTTGAACTATTACAAAACTTTAACGTAAATTCTAAGTCGAAAAAGGGGCATAATTCTGTCAAAATGCTTGATACAGTTACCTCCTCCTGTTTACAGGTTGGGGTCATGATGGTGAACAAGTGTGCAAAGTTTCAAAGCCATATGTCAATGGACTTTGAAAATATTTGAACTATTACAAAAACTTTAACGTAAATTCTAAGTCGAAAAAGGGGCATAATTCTGTCAAAATGCTTGATACAGTTACCTCCTCCAGTTTACAGGTTGGGGTCATGATGGTGAACAAGTGTGCAAAGTTTCAAAGCCATATGTCAATGGACTTTGAAAATATTTGAACTATTACAAAAACTTTAACATAAGTGGTTACGCCGACGCGGACACCAACGCCGACGCCGACGCTCGGGTGACTACAATAGCTCTACTTATTCTTATCGAATAGTCGAGCTAAAAATCATAATTACCATAAAGGCAGTTTTCCATGGAGTATTTTCATTCCAGACTGGTTCTGGGCTTGTTGTGTTTCTGTGATCCAGCACATACAGCACAATGCCAGGAACCGTCTTATTAACTGAGGGCAAGATCCAGGACAACTTGAGTGCTTTCCGACGTCTATGCTCTTCAAAAGTTATATTGGAGGGCACTTCTGGTATACCTGTGCATAAAATTTAAGATATCTTTTAAAATCTTTATTAGAACCAAAATATTTCTTAGAATGACAGTTTCATAGCATAAAATATTCTCATTTTTAAAGTAAAGAAATAAAAATGCTGAAGGGCCATAACTCTGCCTGGGACAAAATTCATTGATTTCAGCACTTTAAGTATTGAAAATTGAGTTCTGCTCTAGCCTTTGCTAGGGGGTTGTGAGGGATGTCACACTTTTTCATTATGATTGTACAGACTCAATCAAACTAAGTCTGATTTTTTTATGTTATTTTGTTGTAATTAGTGCCTCTGATCAAAAGATCATCATTTTTCCAGATTTCTTTTTTTCTGATATACATAAAAGGTAAGTACAATATAATTTTTGTTGAATTCATGTACATTTTTTGTAATTTCTGTATAATTATGTTTTCAATGCCAATTTTTATTCAGATTAAGCAAAAACAAAACATACTCTAGATGCCAAAACAGTGAAAAATGAATTATTATATACTTAACAGTATTTTCCCATATTTTTTTGCATTTTTACATGACGATTACATAATTATACCACGATATTATTTGGTACAGTTTTCCTGCAGCGTGATATTAATACTCACTTTCATAGGTGTAGTCTGGAGTTCTACATACATAACCACAACGATTGGGACAGCACTTCTTGTGTTCCCCGCAGTCACTATCTTGCTTACATGACGCCAGACAAACACCCTCAAAACCTACTGCAGTCTTCGGTCTCGGACAAGAGCCGGCCTTGATTACACTTGTATATGACAGGAAGTCACATGACTTCACACACTCAGACTCATTCTTCTGAAATAAAATTATATTTTGAAATAAAAACACTTGTTTAAAAGTGACTTATTATTAGTTTACGTAAGTAAAGGCTATTATTTTCTTCGTTGAGGTTTGAAGTCACGCCACAATGCAAACGTCATATGGTGACTTAATAATTGGTGGTGGAAGTCTTAAGACTCGTAAGGTGCCATCTAAAGTAGTAGCTTAATTAGGAACCTTAACCATAAAAATGAGAAAAACATGATCCCTAAAGAAAGTCCCTTACCCCTAACAAGGCAAAATTGAAAATGTTGCAGGCTCAGTTTGATTGAGCCCATTCATTGGACAGTAGGGGTTATTGCAAGCTACCGTTTAAGCCACCATAAGCACCAGCTGCCTTAAGTCATGGTCTCCTCTGAGCTTTAACATTATGTGAATGTATTAAATACAGTTTGTATAATTTTTCCCACTTTGAATCTTCTTTATTGGTTTCCACACTTAATTTTCTCAATTTAAAAGGCAAATGAGTTGTTGCAAAAAAAAAAGTGTAAAAAAGTCACTCAGAGCATAGCTCATAATATAAACACTGTATAAACTTCATCACTGGTATAAAATATAGTATAAAATATTAAACATTTCGATATATATATATAAATTTATATATAAAGTAATAGAGAAGATGATTCAATATAAACGTTAGATTAAAGATAGATATCTCGGATGTTACAGTGAGTCAAGCAACATTAACCATGTAAAAAGTAAAACCACTTTAAACGTACTCTTTTCTAAAAACGTACCCCAGTATCACGGTGCAAATCTGTGTTTTTTTTTTTATAATGGTCTGATTGAAAACTTCGGTTTTTCTTTATCTCTTAAGTGCATTAAAATCATTAAAAAATATAGAGCAAATTGGCTAATTTCGAATCAAATTGGCTAATATTAAATCAAAATGCGATAAAAAATTGTGCGACTGTGACTGAATGCAGGTATCAATTTACAATTTAATGACTGGCACACCAGGTGTTTTCTTAATTAACATATTGGAACTTAATTCTGCATCCAATAATGATTCTTTAATTCAAAATGTCAGCTCTGAACACTTTATAATTAACAAATTTAGCCCAGATTATGCTAAAATCAAAATTGCTATTAAACCTAAAAACCTTAAAATATTTTTTAAAAAATCAGGACCCATTCCCAAAGGCAGAAATAACCATATCTCCAAAAATTAATTAAAAAAGAATTTCATATTATTACAAAAATTTATAACTTTTTCTGTTTGTGCAAAAAGCACAGAGTTAATACTCGGGGGAACAGCACTGAAATCATGTTTATTATAATGTTTTACTTAAATCACACTGAATTTTTACAATGGATTGTACATCATCATGTATATAAACCTTATTGAATTGACAAATTAATGCTGCTGCTTAATTTTTAGTCACTGACAGCATAATTCCAGCCGCACAAGCAAATTATCTCCTGCCCGACTTAGCTGAATGAAAGAGTGTTCATTCTTAAGCCTTTGGCTCCAGTCCTACTTATGACAAATGTAATCATTATTTTGTTTTGAGGACTATACTTCTTATCCAACTTGCCCATCCCCACCATTTCTGCAGTGTTTCTTGGCATTCTATATTTAGCAAAGTCTAAAAGTATGACAATTTAAAGTAATTGCCAAATGTGGGACAAAACTCGAAATCAAATCATAACAGATCTTTTGTCTGCACTTCATTACACAGTTGTGACATTTTGTCTTAACTGTGTGAGGCATCTTTTGTCTCATTCCAAGAACCATCCCTGCATGTCACAAAAATTCTGACCAAACCAATCATTGAATGGCACTTTCTTCCTACAACAAAACTTCTTTTATATGAAAGATTACTCACCTTACAGTTTTGTTTCACACAGTTATGATGTGATCTATCACTCAAAATACATGGTTTCATACACTGAAAATAAAAACGAAAAAGATTATAATATGATAAAATTACACACACTCATGTGCAAGCCTCGTTACTGCCCAATTGACGGATCCCCTTGGGAAGGATGATCCGAACTGAATTACAACATAATTATGACAGATATTATTGAATATTATGACCGCCTTTAACAGAATTACTAGCTAGCCAGTGCAGGCTGCAACTGACTCTACCCATGCACACGTCCTGGCTGTCGATAGTCAGTTCACTATTCAACCATAATAATATCTGTCATATGTTGCGGTTCGGACTGGAATATCCGTCCCGAGGGGACCCCGCCCATTGAGCGGTAATGAGGCATGCCTTTCTTGCATACTCTGCCATATTATTTCATATATAAAAATTAATGGTTTACCTCAATATGATATATGTTCATGGAAATTAAAGTCATTTCAAATACAATAGCGTATGAGCTTACAACTTAAATAATTAAACGGTGAAATGACGTCATCCTAAGCACATATTTCCCTTCTAACGATGTCATTTTAATGCGGCTTATTCATAAAGTGCGCTAAAATGACGTTGTTGTTTGGCACGCGACTCATCTGGCACCCCCCATGCCAGATGAAATTTCCAGCATGGGTAAACTCACGGAATCAACCAGTCTGCTATGCAAGAAATACTTAATCTGGTCCACATTAAAAGATGGACAAGTCCATTTAAGATATTCAGCTTTGCAAGGGGTAATAAAATAAAGTTGAATTTTTCAATATATGTATTACCTTTTACAGTAAATTACCTTCCTTTAATATAATGTTTAAAGAAGTTTAAGTACACAACTATAATATTTCATAGATAATAAATACCAATATTTTTTTTTTCGGCATTTTTTATGGAAAAATCAATTAATTCATTTTAAATGTCAAAATAAAATCTTAACAAGCCTAACAAAATGCTGACAAACTTGTCAAAACTATTTTTTTTTGTTTTTTAAGCAAATTTGTGATAACTGACACTAATTCCGTCATTTAGTTTCATTGTTTTTGTCGAGTTGTTTTGAATGACGAGTGACGGCAGGAGGTCAGAAGTCGCACCAGGTGTCAGAATTTATCAGATTACCTGTATTTCAGAAAAACGTGTCAAAATGCTGTGTATATTTGTCGAGGATATCAACACAGGGCCCTGACCTGATAAAATCAAATACTGTAAACCGATTTTGATAATGCCCTTATAAACTAGTAAGTCCTTTTATTGTACACGAGGATGTGATTTGACATTTTGAGAAAGGTGGACAGTGATAAAGAGATCTTAAAACGACTGTTTTCTTTCAATGGAAGACATTCTTCTTCAAATTCTTGTAATTTTTGACACAAACATACACGTGAAGACCATCAAATGTTTTTATTGTATTTTTTTCTCATGAAATGAACTAAACATATCAGTTGGTAAAATAAAAACAAATATTTCAGGCTAGCATTAATTGGTAAATAAAAACAAAAAATTCAGACCCACCCTTTTAAAAGCCAAAGACACAATGTTTTCAGGTAAATTTGCTAAGCTTGGAATAATAGCATGCTACAATAAAATCAAATGTGGTTAAAGTGCTGGTTGCAATTTGATTATACCTTAAGATGTTTTTTTCTGAATTTTCATTAAATATAATATTCGTAACAAAAAATAAATTTACTACACAAAAATGTTTTTGAATGTTTGTTATTTTGTTGTAAACTGCCACTTTTAAAAGCATTTTCATTAAGACCTTCATCCTCCAAGTGTTTTAGAAAGTCTAAGTGAGCATTAAATAGGGAAATTTTTTTCCTCATGAAAATGTGATTTAGTGGTGTGTGACAAAAACTAGCCCATTATAGCATATGATTCCAGATTTAGCTATATCAACTTAAATACAAAGAAAATGAAGTTATATGACATGCTCCTCAACTTGTGTTCACAGTCAAACTAAGATTTTCAATTTGGTTGAATAAGTGCAGAATTTTTAATTGAACACTGACAGTGGTGTCCAAAAATTGTCCTTGAATTCGATCATGTGACATCCTGTATTGAACGCAATGTATTTGCAGGCATAATTGCAGGATGTTTTACAAGAGATGGAATTGCAAGGGGTAGTGCAATCAACAAGGGTAGTGCAATTATTCCAAAGAGGGTTACGATTTTGTCTTCAGGAAGCACTCAGGAGTAAAATTTTTGGTGATTTTTCACTAAGTTTCTCTTTATTGACATCAAATCCCAGAGGGGATGGACATTCCTAGTTAAAACCCAAAGGGGTGTTATGACCTAACATTTTAGCTTAACTTCTGTATTTTATAATAAACATGGAATAGACTGATCTAAATTCAAAGTAGGGCAATATAAAATCCATTTCACAAATTCAGCAGTTTAAAGTGACATTATGCTCATATTTTCATAGTCAAGTTGAGCTGAACTGTCTATATATTTCAAAATAAATTGACTGTTAAAATGGTGATTGACCAACAGTTCATTTTGGAAAATGTTAAGGATAACATTTAAATCTGCCTAAAATATAAAAAGACTGCCCCACTCTTTTTTATGAACTGAACGTTACAGGTAAATTCTGATGGATATTTTGGAAAAAATCATTTGGATCCATGCGTTGTTTATTGTTAATGTGAAATAATTTGTTATTATATTTAAATGAATTATGACAAAATGAAAACTTATTTTGACTTTCACCTGTTCACCCACTTATACCCTTAGATGGGCATAATGTCACTTTAAGGGGTAAAAATCTATAAAATGTAATTTATTCAGAATATGTGGTTCTCTTGTCTCATGAAAGCTGAAGTTATCTGTATTATTTTGATTTATTATCAACACTTATGTGTACAGCAACTGATTTATTCTTGCCTTTCTTCAAATATTGTGAATGCAAATACACTGATGGTTTGAGTTGAGACTTAAACTTATACGTTAAATGTCCAGGTTTTATTACACCCTGCAATCATTTAATATATTTATACCAGTAGTAGGAAATCTTGAGTTTCTATTATTTATAATGATCATTAAGGATTTCAACATGTCTCGCATTTTTGTTCTAAATTATTCAGAGCATGTGCATCACAGTTCAATTATTGATAATCATATGGAAAAAATAATTATCCATTGAGACTTTTGTTTATTTGTTTGTTGGGTATAACATCATAGCAACACATTACAGGTCAATTATGGCGACTTTCCAGCTTTACGACTGAAGGACCTTGGGTACCAAGCACCATACATAATTGTATACATGTACAAGCAGACAACTGAGTAGAACAATGACAACATTCCATAAGCTTAAGCTGGATTATCTAAGCTTCCTCACATGGCAGAATCCTAAGTCTCTAGTGGGATATAAACCTTCGGCGGTCAGGAGTAAAGCAGTTTGAAGTCAACAACCTTTAAACCACTTGGCCCCTGTGAGATGCCCAATCTATAGAGACACTCAGCTGAGTTTCCAATAATGAAGCACTAAATTCTAGGTCTTTCAAATTTTCGTGCAAGATGTTTGGTTCAGTAAGTTGCATTGAACGTAGATTTTAACACATTTCGTGTCATCTCTCGTTAACTTTGTCACCCTTAAACTCTGGGTTTCCAGGATAATTATATTTAGTTACCAGCAATTACCAATTTCCCCAAAAGTGATCCTGATGGTATGACGTCTGCAAGTTCAGTGGTTAGAGACAAAAGACCATAAGACTTGTATTACTCAATGTCCGAGATCAAATTCAACACCTTAGTGCTGTAATGGGTTAAGTCCTCCTAAATCTAATAGGAGTTAACCAGTTATACAACTGAGGTGACAATTTGTCACAGAGAAATTTTGTCAAAGATCCTGTCAAATTAAGATGCTTTCCTTAAATTATAGCATATATTAACGAAATACCGTAATTCATATCATCAACAATTACTTTAATGTCAGCTATATCATAGTTTAAACTCTCATCATATTAAATATAATCATTCAAATTTTTTAAGTACTTTAATCTTAAATATTCAACAAAATAATACTTTTTACAGCAATGTTCTTCTGGTATTTAAATTCAGTCACAACCTAGTTTTTTTTGGAGGGTACAAAAGGATAACTTATTTTTGCCACAGATTTGTTAAAATCGTGTGTTTTTTCTCTCTTTCTATGTACAACATTCAAATGAATTAAATATTACTTTACTATCAGCAAAGATTTTACATTCACATTGAATTTAAAGTGGTCTCACATCAGTAACCATCAATTCAACACAATATACTTCACTCCATTAACAATGTTACACACTCAGCAAAACTATTTTCTTCTATGAAGGTTATAATACGTTTAACAACAACTAAATAGTTTTTATTGGTGGTCAGGGGGACCACGACAGAACCTTCACATGAGTTAAAGCAACAGAGTTAGAATCGCCAACCTTCCGCGTACATGAAAGAATCGGATGACTGATTTATCATAAACTAGAAATGTGTCATCATGCCACGGATGCCCCCGCATGCAGCCCAAATTTCAAATGTTATAATATTTAGTTCCAAATTTGTTTGCACAAATTATTTTTTTCATTCTATGTTCAAAGCCCTTAAAACTTTTCAATGTTAACACAAACCATTTTTATACAATGTTCAAGGCACTGAAATTATTCAGTCTTAACCTTTTGAAAATAGCATATTGCATATTTGTAGCCAAAATAATATACATTTCCACAAAAGAATGAGTGCTGAAACTGAAAGTTCAAAATTTTTCCAACATTCAGGAAAGATAAGTTTGTCCAAAATCATTGAACAACGACCAAATTCCAACTTAAACTGCGAATTCCTTTGACATATCCATATGTCAATTATTCCTAAGATGTATCTATATATATAGAAAGGGACATAACTCTGCCAAAAAATCATCGAACCATGACCAAATTCCAACTTGACCTGCGAATTCCTTTGACATATCCATATGTCAATTTTGAGTTGAATATGTAACACTGTTGGGTTGATAATGAAGAGAAACTGTAAATTTCATATCATTTTCGAAGTGAAAGGGGCATTACTCTGCCAAAAATCATTGAACCATGACCAAATTCAAACTTGGCCTGCGCATTCCAAAAATATATCCATATGTCTAATTTGAGTTGAATGTGTAATATTGTTGGGGAGATAATAAACGGAAACTGAAAATTTCATATTATTTTTAAAGTGAAAGGGGCATAACTCTGCCAAAAATCATCGAACCATGACCAAATTTGAACTTGACCTGCGCTTTTCTTTGACATATCCATATGTCAAATTTGAGTTGAATGTGTAATACTGTTGGGGAGATAATAAACGGAAACTGAAAATTTCATATTATTTTCAAAGTAAAAGGGGCATAACTCTGCCAAAAATCATCGAACCATGACCAAATTCAACCTTGACCTGTATTTTCTCATGACATATCCATATGTCAAGTTTGAGTTGAATGTGGTGTACCATTGGGGAGATAATGAACGGAAACTGAAAATTTCATATTATTTTCAAAGTGAAAGGGGCATAACTCTGCCAAAAATCATCAAACCATGACCAAATTTGAACTTGACCTGCATATTCCTTTGACGTATCCATATGTTAAGTTTGAGTTGAATGTGTTGTACCATTGGGGAGTTAATGAACGGAAACTGAAAATTTCATATTATTTTCAAAGTAAAAGGGGCATTACTCTGCCAAAAATCATCAAACCATGACCAAATTTGAACTTGACCTGCATTTTCTCATGACATATCTATATGTCAAGTTTGAGTTGAATGTGTCGTACCGTTGGGGAGATAATGAACGGAAACTGAAAATTTCATATTATTTTCAAAGTAAAAGGGGCATAACTCTGCCAAAAATCATCGAACCATGACCAATTTCGAACTTAACCTGTATTTTCTCATGACATATCTATATGTCAAATTTGAGTTCAATATGTGCAACGGTTATTTAGATAATGAACGGAAACTGATGATGACGGAAGGACGGAAGGACGGAATGACGGAATTACGGAATGACGGAATGACGGAACAGGGTAACACTATATGCCCTTGCCATTATATGGCGGGGGCATAATGAGTAGAATTGCCAACCTTTCATACTTGAAAGAATCTGACTACCTGTTGTACATGAAAGAATCGGACGACTTGACTAATATTATCATGAGTAGAATCGCCAATCTTCTGTACTTGTCAGAAACAGATGACTGACTAATATCATAAATGAGAATCACCAACTTTCTATACATGAAATAATCTGTAAATGTCGAGCCTTGGTCCTGATCCTCAAAATGGACCTTTCCAGTGTTTATAGTTTTATGTAAATTGGCTAACTTGTTATCTAATTGCTACAATGAAATAATACATAGTCACTGGTTGACCTGGTTTGCACAAAAGAACATGTGGTTATGTTTGTGATACTGTTTGTGAGCAGTTGACCTAGCAATGAACGAAAAAGGTGTTGCTAAAATTTTGTTCCTCTATGAAAAACCGGAAAGGTCCATGAAATCAAATTGCCAATTTTCCTGTTTTTCATAATATACACTTTTCATTCCATTATATAAAGTTCATAGTTATGCTCATATATTTATTTAAAATGGGGTTTTATGCGGCATATGGTATCTAATATAAACATTACACCTTTAACATACAGAACTTTTGTAAAGAAGTGTAGGTATGTTTTTTGATTCAATTCATAATGAATTGTTATTTTTGCTGAATCATTCCCTACCAATAGTAGAAAATTGATGCATTTCATCCCCAGTTTTATTTTCTACTTTATCAATGTAAATTACATGTGCTAGAAATGATAATGTGGCGAATATAGCGAAATATATTTATAAACGAGTTCAAAAAAATCGTAAACCAAGAATTTTAATAGCTGATGACAACCCTTGGCAATTAAAAAGAGAATGCCCACCAATAAATGTGAAGATATTAAGAAAAATACAAACATCTGTTAAGTCGATTTCGTTGTTTATGTGTGAAAATCGTATTTCATTGAGATACGCAAAAAAGGAAAAGGACAAGGACGGCATCATTATCAACAAAGTTTATCACAACAAAATAACATCATATTTTGTGCAGGTGGCAATAAACGTTAAAAGTTTTTGTAAGTTTGTCTTGCATTTTACTAATTTATTGCAGTAAAAACTGAAATGCAAACTGTTTCCTTTACAACAAATGAGTGACAAAAACTTTGTTATCAACTTGAACAATCTTAAACATCTGTTTTGATTCTTTTGGAACCTTTCTTACTATTCGCCTCAAAGCAAACATACAAACATTAAATGATTTCTTAGTAGTAACAGGTCATGAGGTTTTAACCCATTTCAGGTGTGTGTGAATTTAAGTTCTACTTCACATTTCAGTTGCCCATATCTGCAACGTGACTGAATAATAAGTTGTTTAATTTCAGGGCGATGCAAAGATACATGTACAACAGTTGCTCCATTGTAGAAGCGTCACAGAGATACTTTTACATGCCCGGTGTGGAGCATTGTGAGATATGTGGGACTTCAGTTTTTTAGGTCTCGTCTTAAAACTTTTAGTACTTATTGGAGCAGAGGATTTAACCAGCATCCCCTGACAGGTCCTGCAGACATATGAGGGGTTTAACAATATGAGGCCAACAACCTTACGTCTTTCATATGCCAGCAGATTTCATAGCAGTTGACCATCGGCTTCTTTAACTTTTGGCTATAAACTATATTACAAATTATGTTAGCAGTTGTTAGCATTTTGTTATGTTTGTATTTACTTATGTCAGCATTTTGTTATGTCAGAAATTTACTTATGTCAGCATTTTGTTATGTCAGCATTTACTTGTCAGCATTTTGTTATGCAAATTTTGATGTAGAATTTAAACCAAAACTGTAAGTATTATTTTTTTAGTTTTGATTTTACCCCTTACATTGTTTAATCTTGGTATAATGATTACAGTGTATTTAGCTTTAACTTTGGAACAGTCAGCTATTGTAATATGGTGGGATTTCAATTTTCAGAACCATTTAAACCTTCCAAAATTCTAGTCCACCATCCACCAATTCCTTGGTCTGATTCCATCAAGTTCACAGTTTAAGGTTGAATGTTTATGCAGTGGCCTGGACCAGGCAAGAAGTGGTGAATGGTTTTGGTCATATTTTAATATTGACAACTCCATTTAAGATATTTAGCGTAATACTTAAAGGATTGAACTTACCTCAAAACATTTAGCATTATTCTTACAGTGGTCTATCATAAACTTTCTGTGGTTGTTTCTATCTTTACCCTGAAATAGACGAATAAAAATAATACAATAAACTTTGAATGGCAAAAAAATAATAGGTAAATATTTCATTTACGTACATAGATCTCCAAGTGGCTGTATTTTCTAATTTGTTACTACTGATAGCTTGATAATGTCGGAAATAAATTTGAATGTTATTGATTTATACAAGTGAACTACGTTTAGGAATTTAAGGTGATTTATGCCAAGACATATTAAACCATCCCTTTAAACAACCCTGATATAGAATGAAAATACCAAGTAAAATGGGAATGGTTAAGTGGTTTACACCTTACGTTTCTTTAACTTTCTTCATATTTCAAAATTATATAATTATAATTTCACCAATTTTATCTTTGTCTTAACATAAAGCCAGTCTTCTCAACCATCACTACATTTGAAGGTCAAAATGCCACTTTGACCAAGGTCAATTTTGTCAAAAAAGAGAACAATCTCTGCATTTATCCTTCAACCTGAAAATGTGACCTTGACCCAAAGATCAATTCTGTCATACCAAAAAGATTTTTTTCAAAGAACCTGCTGCTCTTTACATTTGACTTTCAACCTGGGAATGTGACCTTGACCAAGGAGATAATAAAATAAGATGTACTAAGATATGTAATGTATCATAGTTTGTGGACCTTTCTGTTGAAAATATGTCAGAGTTAAATCGTATACATATACATGCACAGTGCCTTAACTGGAGTGCAGGTATATGTTACCCGCACTCCAGAGCATTCCCATTGATTGGCTCATTTTTGCTGGGGTTTACTTATTGCGACGGCAGAGAAAGGAAAGCGACAGAAATTTCATATTCAGATGCTCGTTCATTGGTTACTTTTTTTCTGGGGTTTCATTATTGTGACAACAGGGAACGCGCTTTGATGTTTGACTATATATGATACAAAAGAGAAAGAACATCAAAACACTCAGCAATCTGATTTATACTCAGCCCCCTCATACAAATCAGATAGCCTCCTGTTTCGATGCTCTTTCTATTACTTAACCATTTGAATGCTCATGCATATAAAAACATAATCTTATGCCACCTTCAGAATAGTATTTAGCTCACTGACAGTGTAAATAGTCTGATCAATTTTATTTGGTTTGGTTTTAAGTCACACATCCATATACTGTCAAGGTCATATAATGATTTTCCAGCTTTATTAGTTAAGGTAGACTTCTTGTGGCCATCTATGTTACTTCAGACACAGGTTGGCTAATATCTATACCGACCATCTTCATATTCATCATTTTAAGACCCTTAATGACCTTTGACCTGTCACGTCCTTGGTATAAACTTTGACGTCATATAGGGTTAAAATCTTTCAGACTCTGTGGTCATTTCCTTAACGATAACCTTTAACGTGTGATTTTAATTGGTTGAAACATTCTTATGATTTTCCCTTCTGGCAAACAGGATATGAAAATTACCCGTGTATCTGAACGACCTTTCAACCTGAGTATACGGCACTTTTTGATATTACTCACTGCCGTCCAGTCATTCTTACACAGTCCTTATACGCAGCTGTAATTTTAACTCCCTTGTAACATTTGTCAACAAAAATAAATAACTGATACAAAAGATTGAAAATTGCACACACTTCAAGTCTAAATGTTAAAGTCATAGGACCGACATAGTAAATCCAAGATAAAACATGCCAATATAACAAGCAAACAATAGCAGGGGGCAGACAACAGATACACTTATATCTCTATGTAAGCATGGACTTTGACCCCTATGTACTTTGTCAAAATGCAACCCCTCTATAATATGTCATTTACACAACATTTCCTTCCTGCACTGCAGCTCTTCATCATTGGGTTAGACTAAGGGAAATGATACTTTCAAAAAGAAATTTATTTTAAAAGAAAATATCAGCACACAGTTTCTGTTAAAACAGGATATCCTTGTTTGTTTACATTTCATGTTAAAGGTGCATGACTCCAGATTCATGATAATGTTCATGAAAATGTTTGAATGTGCTTTTAAAAAGTAAAAGAAAGACAGTAATTTACACATTGCTGATATGGCACTAAAGATCTACGAAAAATTACCAATACAGGTCAGAATATGCAAAAATAACCCTTACTGTGTTAATTAAGTCACACAGTAGAAATAAGGTGATAAATACTGCAAAATCAGTCATTTGAATTGCATATGTAACATGTAAATTATTTATTTGAGGATTTATAAACATTTTTACTTTACTTTAGATCTATACTATTCATTTTTCTCAAGTTTGAATTACTTGAAATATTTTGGCTAATCTGGAGGCATGCAGCTTTAAGACTAACAGTGGCTTTAAAATGTTGCCAAATTTTTAGCCAAAAGTTAAGGTTACAAAGTCAGTAAGCACAATTATTTAAAAGAATTAATATAATAACTGTATATAGACCTAATTGTAATGGCAGATCCAATATCCTTTTGTTTTTACAAAAAAAACTTTTTCAATTTTTTTTCAATTTTGATTTTTTTCTAATGACAAAAAAACTGATCTATTGTACAAATTTTTTGCTATATCATATTAACCCTTGGAAAAAAAATCTGCCGGTGTTTCAAAAGACAGATCTTGATAATGAATGGCCGGTTTATTTTGCCGTTTTTTATTGCTTTACAGTATGTTAAAGTATCAAGTGATTTTTGGCACACTTTTATTTCATTCAAATATTTTAATTACCTTCCAACTGGTAACTCTATAAAAGATCGGATCTGCCAAAACATGACAAATCATTCTTTACTTGTAATTAACAGATGATTCCGGTCTTCATTGGGTCAACCGTTCAGTTGAACGGCAGGGGGGCACGCGTATTCAATTTCTTTAGCCTCGTGGATTAAAGCCAAAAAAGTCATTCATAATGATAGACATATGGTTAAATATATATAAAAGACAGCAACAGGCACTTAAATGATCATTAATGAGGACAGTATGCACGACCTACAAACAGTCAAAAGAAAACCTTCTCAATTTTTTGTACGACATTTTGAATGATTAAGCTATAATTTGAGAGATTCGAAAGATTTCACCATCATTTGCATTTTTACTGATTTAAAGTTTTTAATACCTTGTCGATAAGATACCATAATCTACTTATTTACTTTAAACGTGTTTGTAAACTGTTGAAATGATGGTCAGTAATGTTACATATTCTATATAAACCCATTTTTATGAATGAACATTCTGGGTTTAAAAAAAGGGCATATAACTTCTAAAAATATTGCTTTTCAGGCTTGTGTTACAATTTAAGTTTCATGTTCGACCCAATAAAATATTCTTCAGGTTTCATGTTGATAACTTTCATATGTTTTTAATCATTCCAAGCAATTTTGAAAAATCTATGAAAAAACGGACATATAACTCCGGAAAATATAGCTTTCAGAGTTATGCCCCTTCTCTTACAAAAGTTGCACTTTGTCAGGATTAGCAAGTATTGTATACAGTCATGTTTTATGTTGATATAAAAATTTCAATATGTTTGAATAATTGGCAACATTACAGATTTTTTCATGAAAACTTCATTGACAATGACAACACAGCAATCACTTATAATAGCGCAACTTTTTCTTTCAAAACAGATTGAGCTAAAAACAATCTTGTAAGGTCTATTAGTAACAATTTTCGGATGCCATTTTCGTGCTGTCTAACAGATTGAGGCTCAATATAATTAAATATATAATGCTGGTAGATTAATTTTGCATTTTCAATATTGAAATCCCTTTAACTTTGAATGGACTGTCCCAAATTCAAAGCAGGGCAAATCCATTATTACAAATTCAGTAGATTAAAGATTAATTTTTTTATAATTAATATGAATTTTGATGAACTGACAAGACAAAAACTCTCATGTTCTAAATATTGCAGTGTCACTTGGATGAATAATGTTATATTGTACCGAGCATTATATTATATATACATATATATCTAATATATCTTGGTTCAATACTTCTTCATAATTTTATACCATATAATTTTTTGTTTAAAAAAGCAAAGGACGTATACTATTTCAAGTATCGAAGCTTGAGAAAATATATGCATAAATGACAATAAAAATCAATCAATCATTTCTGAACTTTGTATGTCGATCCGTAAATAAATTGGAAAATTCATTCTTTAAAACCTATCTATCTATAAAGATTTCATATCAACTTACAAAATCCAACCTGCAGTCATGAATGAAGTTGGCTTTCCTCGTCAACAATACAAAGGTTCACGATTTGACATAGAAAGTCATTATTCATGATCAAGAGACAGTCTCGAATATTTGTCAATAAATAAATACAAAAGAAATTTCACACAGACGGTTGTCTCTGATTGGTATTCTCAATGAAAGTTATAAATACGTGTTGTAAGCATTTCCAATTGCTATTACAAACTTGCAAAGACGTATGTAAATAAAATGCTAATAGGCAAAATGAGATGTTATTTTAGAGCCATTTAAAGATAGGGCGTTCAACTTTTTTTTTTCTCCCCCCCAATTTCATAATAGGCTGGTTTATCCTTTTTATAAAATGATCAGTAAATAGGACAATGAATAAAATAAAATGTTTAAATTTCAGAATTAAAATGTTTTGTTTAACAGTATATTATGATTTATTTATTTCTATAAACTGGTTTTGAGACTCACTGTGGTTTGATGCAATAAAAATTAACCAGTGTTAAATTTGAATATGAAATTTTATAAAGAAGTGAATTATTATTAAATGTTCAATACTTATAGAATATGAACAAAAAAAAAACAATTTTATTTTTAGAAATTATGAATCACAAGATGTATCAAAATTAAAGATATCAACAGATGTTTTGAATTCCTATATTTTCAATATTGTTATATAATAATTTTGTCTAAATAAGTAAATTAATTAATTCATTTTAAGATTTAAGTTGCTTTACTTCATACAAGTTGCCCAGGTTGCTATACAGGTGAGTACTTGAAACCCAAAAGCCGGGCTGTGGAGTGACTTAATTAATGCTGTGCTACACAATTTAATTAGTAGATTTAGT